ACCAGGAATTCCCAGGGTTCATTTTCTCTTCATCCTGGTGGGTGTCAAGGGATTCCTTTTTATTTATTTATATGTGGTGCTGAGGATCGAACCTAGGGCCTTACACAGGCTAGCGCTCTACCACTGAGCCACAACCCCAGCCCTCAAGGGATTCTTACCCATTGTTTTGATTTACATTTGTCTAATGATTAGTGATTTGATTATCTTTTTTTAGGCTTTGCCATTTGTATATCTTCTTTGAAGAAATATCTATTCAAGTCCTTTGCCCCTTTTCCAATTGAGTTATTTGGTTTTGTTGCTTTATTTGTTGAGTTATAGGAGTTCCTTATGTATTCTGGACATTAACCCTTTATTGAATACATGATTTGCCAACATTTATTCAAATTCTTTAGATTGTCTTTCACTCTGTAGATTGTTTGTTTTGAAGTGCAGAAGTTTTTCAGTGTGATGTAATCCCATTTCTCTACTTTTGCATTTGTTTTCCATGCTTTTTGTGTCATAGCCAAGAAATCATTGCCAAATCTAATGTCTTAAAGCTTTTCATGTGTTTTTTTCCTAGGATTTTATAATTTTAGGTCTCAGGTTGATTTTTAATCTACTTTGACTTAATTTTTGTAATTGGTATAATTTGAGGATTATTTGTTTGCACATGAATACCAGTTTTCCCATCCTTATTTGTTGAATATATTGTCATTTCCCTGTTGTGTGGTCTTGGCCCCTGAGGGTTTATTTCTGAGGTATTTATTCTGTTCCCCTGGTCTATATTTATATCTTTATTCCAGTAACACACTGTCTTAATTACTGTTGCCTTGTATTATGCTTTTTTAAAAAAATTATTTTTTAGTTGGACACAATATCTTTATTTTATTTATTTTTATGTGGTGCTGAGGATCGAACCCAGGGCCCCACACATGCTAGGCAAGTGCTCGGCAAGTGCTCCACCACTGAGCCACAACCCCTGCCCTTGTATTATGCTTCTTAAAAAAAATTTACTGATACATAATTGTATATCTTTATGGGCTATAGATGATTTATACATTGTGTATTATTATTCAACTCAGGATACTTAGTTATTCATCTCAAACATTTATCATATTAAGATTCAAAATCCTAGCCATTTGAGATAATATGGTACAATATTGTTAACTATAATTACTCTCTGTACAATAAGACACCAACACTTATCCTCCTGTCTGGCTATACTTTGTATCTATTAGGTAGAACTCTATCTCCTCCTCCCAGCCTCTGGTAGCTACTTTTCTGGTCACTAGTTTTATAAGCTTGGCCATTTTAGGTCCTGCAGATGAGTAAAATCATGTGGTATTTGTCTTTCTGTGTCTGGTTTATTCCACTTAACATTATGATCTCCAGATCTATCCATGTTGTTGCAAATGACAGGATTTTGTGCTTTTTATGGCTAAATAGTGTTATATGGTATACATATTATGTTTATTTTTATGTGGTGCTGAGGATCAAACCCAGAGCCTAACATATGCAAGGCAAACGCTCTTACCACTGAGCTACAGTCCCAGCCCTTGTCTTTTTGATTATAGTTATTCTAACTGGAGTTAGATGATATCTCATTGTGGTCTTGATTTGCATTTACCTGATGATTAGTGATATAGAACATTTTTTTATATACTGGTTGATCATTTATATATCTTCTTTTGAAAAGTGTCTATTCAAATTATTTGCCCATTTTTAAATCAGATTCTTTTTGCTGTTTCTTTTTCTTTTTTGGGGGGGGTGGTTGCTTGTATGTTTTGGATATTAATACCTTGTCAGACAGTTTGAAAATATTTTGCCTCTTCACTGTTGACCATTTCCTTTGCGATGCAAGAAGAGTTTTAGCTTGAAGTAATCCTATTTGTCCTTTTTTAAAAAATATTTTTAGTTGTAGATGGACACAATACCTTTATTTAATTTATTTGTATGTGGTACTGAGGATTGAACTCAGTGCCTCACCTGTGCTAGGCAAGTGCTCTAACAAATGTGAGGTCTTCAACTTTGTTGTCTTTTCAAGATAGCTTTGACTATTTGAGCTCCCATATGAATTTTTCTTTTTTTCCTTCTGGTATCAGGGATTGAACCCAGGGGAAATTAACCACTAATCCACATCTCTAACCCTTTTTATTCTTATTTTGAGAGAGGCCCTCACTAAGTTGCCCCAGTAGTCCTTGAAGTTGCAGTCCTCCTGCCACTCAACCTCCCGAGTTTCTGAGGTTACAGGGATGCATCACTACACCCAGTAGCTGCCCTCCTTTTTTTTTTTTTTTTTTAAGAGAGGAGGTTTCTTTATATTGCCCAGGTTGGCCCTTAACTCTTGGGCTCAAGCAGTCTTCCTGACTCAGCCTCCTGAGTAGCTGGAACTACAGGCATGTGCTACCTTGCCTGGCTTAAACAACTAATTTTTATGTATTCGTTTAGTAAAGTTGCTTATTAAATACTTTTTTTTTTGCATAGAATCTTTAAATTTTTTTTACATTTAAGATCATGTCCTCTGTAAACTGGTAATTTTATTTCTTAATTTCTTTTTATTATTTAATTATGGTGGCTTAGAATTCTAGTCCTGTGTTGAATAGAAGTGACAGGAGAGCACAACCCTGTCTTAGAGTTGTTCTCAGAGGAAATCTTAAAAGTCTTTTGTTACTGAGCATATTGGTTTTGATTTTTTCAAGTATGGCTTTCATTTTGTTGATATAGTTTCCTTATATTCCTAGTTTGTTGAGTGTTTTTAGCATGATGATGCATTGAAGTTTGTCAAATGGTTTTTCTTCATCAATTGAGATAATCATATGCTTTTCTTTATTTCTTATTTATTCTAGTACAATAGTGTGTTAAATTGATTTTGTTATGGTAGAACCATTCTTGAATCCCACTTGCTAATGATATGTAATTATTTTAATGCTCTGTTGAATTTGGTTTGCTATTTTGTTCAGGATTTTTACATCAGTATTGATCAAGGATATTGGTCTATAGTTTTCTCATGTAAAATTTGTCTGGCTTTAGTATCAGAGTGAGGCTGTCCTCGGAATGAGTATGGCAGTGTTCTCTTCCATACTTTGAAGAAATCTGAGAAGCACTGATATCAATTCTTATCAGTATTTAGTAGAATTCTTTGGTGAAGCCATCAGGCTTTGTACTTCTTTTTTTTTTTTTAAAGAGAGAGAGGGATTTTCTTAATATTTATTTTTTAGTTATTGACGGACACAACATCTTTGTTTGTATGTGGTGCTGAGGATCGAACCCAGGGTGCACGCATGCCAGGCGAGCGCGCTACCGCTTGAGCCACATCCCCAGCCCTGTACTTCTTTTTGGAAGGTTTTTGATTACTGCTTCAATCTCCTTGTTATAAAATTGTAGGACTGTTTAGAGTTTTTATGTCTTTAGGAGTAAGTCTTATTAGGTTATATTTCTAGAAATTTGTCTTCTGGATTATCCAGTTTGCTTATAATTGTTCATAGTATTCTCTTAAAATCCTTTTTGTGACATCAGTTGTAATGTTCCCTCTTTGATTTTATTTAATTTTTTTCTTGGTTAACCTAGCTAAGGATTTGCCAATTTTGTTGATCTTTTAAAAAAACATCTCTTAGTTTACCTGATTTTTTTTCCTGTTGTTTTTATTTATTTCTGTGCTCAACTTTGTTTTCTTTCTTTCTTCTGCTAACTTTGGGTTTAGTTTGTTCTTTTTCTGAGTCTTGGAATTACAGGCTTAAGTTATTGACTTGAGATATTTCTCTTCCTTTATTTTGGTGGGTTGAACCTACGGCCTCATACATGCTAGGCAAGCACTCTACTACTAAACTCTATCCCCAGCCCTGTTTTTTTTTTTTTTAAGAGAGAGAGAATTTTTAAAAAATATTTATTTTTTTAGTTTTCGGCGGACACAACATCTTTCTTTGTATGTGATGCTGAGGATCGAACCCGGGCCGCGCACGCATGCCAGGCGAGCATGCTACCCCTTGAGCCACATCCCCAACCCTGTTTTTGTTTTTTAATATAAGCATTTATCTCTTAGTATTGTTTTCACTGCATGCATAAATTTTGTATGTTGTGTTGTCATTTTCATTTGTCTTCAATGTTTTGTAATTTCTCTTGTGATTTATTCTTTGAGCCCCAAATGTATTTTTTTTTTTTTTGGTACCAGGGATTGAACTCAAGGGCACCCAGCCACTGAACCACATCCCCAGCCTTATTTTGTAATTTATTTAGAGAAAGGGTCTCACTGAGTTGCTTAGTGTCTTGCTTTTGCTAAGGCTGGCTTTGAATTTGTGATCCTCCTGCCTCAGGCTCCTGAGCCACTGGGATTACAGGAGTGCACCACTTTGCCCAGCTTTAAATGTATTTTTTTTTAAATTTTAAAGTTGTATGAACTGTGATAGCAAAAAAAAAAATTGTATGGCAGATAAAATGGTCTTAAGTTCAGATGTCAGGGGAATGTAATAGGGAAAGTGGCAGATCTTGTTAAAGCAAGAAATAACCTAGATTATAGATTTCTTATTTTCAGGACTTTTCTTTGGATATGCTTATAAGAAAAAAGTACATTGATCTAGGAACAGTGAGCAAGGAAGGTACCATTTTTTTTAATATTTATTTTTTAGTATTAGGTGGACACAATATATATATATATATTTATTTATTTATTTTACATTTTTTATGTGGTGCTGAGGATTGAACCCAGTGCCTCATGCATGCTAGAGGAGCACTCTACCACTGAGCCACAACCTCAGCTGGAAGGTACCATTTTGATAGTCACTTGGTTACTATCCTCTAAGCATAAATAACTCTGTTCAGTACCAGAAGTTCAAAGTTGAGGAAGACCTCATGTTTTCTGAGTTTCAGACTTGTAGGAGGATGATATGATTGGTGAGAAAAAACTTGTCATTAAAAAAGAAAACTAGCATTTATTACAATGCCATCTTTACCTTCTGTCCAATTATACTGTGAGTTATTTTAACACTAATTTTTTACAAAGTACTGTTGTTTTTCCCCTCATCTAGGCACAACACTATCACTGGACGATGGCTGACCCGGTTCCAAGCCGTGTGGGACCCTAAACAAGAAGATTGTATCTTAGTTGGCAGCATGGCCCATCCACGACGAGTGGAAATCTTCCATGAGACAGGAAAGAGGGTGCATTCTTTTCTTGGAGAATGTCTTGCCTCTGTGTGTTCCATCAATGTCATGCACCCAACTCGGTATATTCTGGCTGGAGGTAATTCCAGTGGGAAGTTACATGTTTTTATGAATTAAGAAAGCTACTTAGTTTCTAGGTAGGTATACCTATTTGTTCAAATTCATCACTGTCTAAAAAACCTAATGATACACATAGCTTAGTGTGTTTACTTGGTGTTATATTTATAAAATATAAAATTGCTTTATTAATAAGAACTATGAGCAGAATATACTAAATTTAGTAAGGGAGAAGCCTCAGAAGATGCTTCTCAGGCATGGAGAGGAAATTTGAATAGAGGCTGAGATGCTTTTAGTACTTTTAATCAGGCAGTATGTTGAGAAAGTCTACAAGATAAATTATAAAGCTTGAATGATCAGTATTAACTTTTTGTTATATAATGATAATAGTTTTTAGTCTACAATGATATAGATTTGTGGTTTATTTTCTAAGTTTGTAGTGAATGTTTATTTTTAGGCTTATATGCTGGAAGGAGTCCTGAAAGGTCTTCTAACTCAATGATTGAAACTTAGTTTTTAAAAACAAGAACCTTTTTTTTTTTTTGCACCTGCCTCTCAGTTAAATTTTATATGAGCCGGGCGTGGGAGCGCGTGCGCGTATAAACCCAGCAGTTTGGGAGGCTGAGACAGGAGAATCACAAGTTCAAAGCCAGCCTCAGCAAAAGCAAGGTGCTAAGCAACTCAGTGAGACCCTGCTTTATAAATAAAATATAAAATAGGGCTAGGGATGTGGTTCAGTGTTCAGATGCCCCTGAGTTCAATTCCTGATACCCCACCCCCCCCAAAAAAATTATATGAAATGCCAAGAAAATTGCTAAGAACAATTTAGTCGGGGTATGTGGAGCCTTGCTTTTCCTCTTCCAATGTAAGACTAGGAATTGTAGCTCTTCACAGGAAGTCTGTTTAATGGTCGGAGGTTAGAAGTAGTGTTTAAAGAAAAGGAAGAATTACTTAAGAACAGAAAACATAATAAGAATAAATATTGTTTTATAAAACTTAGTTAATATACATATATATGTAGGTTTATGTTTATGTATATACTGATGTAAAAATTTTTTAATTAGAAGTGAAAGCTACTGCCATAGTATGTCCCAGATGCCCTAGTCTGTCCGTCTTTAAGCTCTTCAGATTTAATAGTCTGTTAAATGAATAACTTTAATTTCTCTTCATATTTTGGGACATATAATACTTTTGATTTTTTTTTTTTTAAGAAATTGTTTTCTCAGAAGTTAATGGTAATTTCAATGGGCCTACTGTTGGGAAGAGGGGTTGCTAAATCAGTGACTAATATTACTGTGTAATATCAGCTTTTTCCATTGTTCTTCATAGCCAAAGTACTACTGAAAGACTTGTAAGTAAAAGCTTAGACAATATGTTTGAATTATAAGAATTAGGAAATATTATCTTCTCATAATTTTATAGCAAAGAAATAAAGTATTTTCCTTGAACGATTTTTTTCTAAGTAATTTTCTCTGTAATTAAATTTAAGTGTTCTGAGACTTAGTTTATTAGTAGGTTATGGGTGTTTATAAAGAATGGGAGTTGTGTTTTCTGGGTGTTATGATACAAGCATTGGTAAGTGTGATGGAAACATTAATTTACAAAATGGAAAGTAAAGCTAAATGAGGTTGAATTATGTCTGAACTGTTTAGGAAAACAGTAAAGGAAGGCTTTAAGCTTCCTTTCCCTTTTTCTATACCAATTAATTTCATAGTTTCCAGAGTGGTTAGTTCTGCGGGAATTGTTCTTTTTAAGATGCTGAAAACTACTCTTGATCAAATTAGTACCATCATTTAAGCTTTGAATACTTGGTAGTAATGGGGGGGGGTCTCTGCAATAAACACAAGAAAATTCCTGACTTTTGTGGTTTCTTTTGCCATTGCAGCATCATAAACTGCTATTTATATCCAGTTTCACTTAGTAGAGTTATACCTTCTTGAGGCAATGCAGGAAGGACGGAGAATGAGTAGGCACTTGTTACTTGGTCATAAGCTTTATAACAGAGTAATTGTGTACATCTAGACAGCCCATAACGAAAAACTGCCTCCCTTAAACTGTCTGTAATGTAATTTCTTGAGTCTGGTTTACAGCTGTGTGGCTTCTGTAATTATATGTGTATTATGATTGCTCCTTTCCTTTGGGATAAACTTTTGCTGTCAGTTTGAACTTTTGGATTTCTCCTAAACTCATAAGCTCCGAGTTCCCATGGAGCTGTTTGCTTTGAGGTGACCTGCCTTTTTGATGTTAGGGAGTTGTTCTCATATTAAGTAGACAGAGATGTGGTCAGATTAGGAGTGACCACAGATGATTCGAAATGAACAGAATCTGAATTGCTTCAGTCCTATTTTAGTATTCTGGTCTTTGAATTTCCTTTTCACAGAGAAGATTTGGTGAAGGAAGTTCTTCAGAAAAGCAGCAAGCTTCAGGCTGTGGATACAAAGATTTAATTCCTTCAGCCAGCAAACAGCCATACTAGGTAATCTTGAGAAAACTACTTAAGCTTCATGGTTTTCATTACCAGAACAAGGTCCAATTCACCTCAAATTATTCCACATTTAAAGTTTTTCAGTTTCTAGTCATTTATTCTGGGGTGGGGAGACAATGAGAATTGATGGATATATGTTATTTTGTATGATCCAATTGTGAATAGCAGTCAGCTATGTAAATCCTACTGGTAGTATCTTTTTATCTATGTGTTAGTAACTTTTCATACTGTGAGGTGGTATATAAGTTAAAAAACAAAGAGCCCACTTTTTCATGGTATTTAAATATTTATTTTAAGTTTAAAAATAATTTTCATGGCACCAATGATTTTATGCTAACTACATACTGCATATGTAGAAAAAAGTACATTGCTTTGAAGGAAAATGTAACTCAAAAGTTTTTGGCACACGAAAGGTTAACAACTATTTTTTAAGTGAAACTAAGAAATTCACATTTGCAGGTAGTTTACCCTCTACTGCTTAAAGATGCAGTTTGCTATTCTTCAGAAAGTTATTTCCTCCAAAAGATGATGCTATGGAAACCATTGATTTTTCTACAGTGAGATAAAATGAGAGACATAGTAGAACATAAAAAACCAGATAAAAAACTTGAACAGTTTTTAATGGTGGGGAGATATCAAAAAAGACTAGTTACCATTAAAGGAAGTTTGTTATTCAAGCACAATTTGAAAAGCAAATTGAAGGAAACTTTTCTATCCATATTTTCTGGGAAAAGCCTTAAAAAATCTCAAAAGTTTCTGTTCACCTGCTAGAAATGGTATGGACTACTGCACTGTTAGAATTCTAGACACAAGTTAACACACCGGGCAACGGGATACTGTATCTCTCTAGTGTGGATGTGAAAGGTCCAAGGCAAGGCTCTCACTCACTGCATAGAGACACCGTGTTCTACAGACTGAGGTAGGAGCACTACACTAGAAGGTAATCTATGTTGCATAAGACAGTAGATATCCAGGTTAACACCAGCTCCCTGTCTCCTGACAGCCTTTTCATCTCTGGGTCTACTTTTCACTTTAGTCCTGTGCTAAATAAAGCCTTTGCTACGTAGATGACAAGTGGCAGTGGCTAGTTGGTTTAAGTGATCCCTAATCTTTACTAGGATCTCCCTCACTTTGTCTCGTCACTTGGTAAGTATGTTTGTGATTCTGCTCAAATTGTTGCTGGTATGAAAATGATCAGATAGGCCCATTTCCATTTTTCGATTTGCCATGTTTTAGCATTCCAGTTCTTGATCTTGCTCATCTTGGCTCCAGACATCTCTGCTGGTTTGTTGTTCAAGCACCCTGTAAACAAGCAACCCTAGTGTTTCCACTGGGAAAAGGCCTAGGTCTTTCACACATGCCAGGAATTGGAGAAGAGCTGACCCTTTTTTGTTCCATAATGGTCAGTTTTATTGTCTAGATCAGGGTTGGCATATTATGGCCCATGGACCAAAATAAGCATACCGTCTTGTTTTTATAGTAGTATTGGAACACGGATATGCTCCTTCATGCACACATAATCCATATTTTTGTGCTATGATGGCAGAGTTGAATAATTGTGACAGAACCAAAAAAAAAAAAAAAGTTTACTGTCTTTTCAGAAGTTTCCTGAACTGTGGTCTAGATGAAAAAAGTATCTTTCTTTAAAATTAAGACAAATCCACTCTCCCCCCTCACCCCTTAGAGCCCTGATTTTTTCATGGTTGTTATATTCTGAACATGGAACTGGTTCTATCATTTCAGGGTACAAAACAGGAGAGATCAAATCAATAAATGACTCTCTCTGTTCTGCTTTTGGGACTGTCCAACATCATACTGTGTTGGCAGCTGTGTTGGCATATTGTGTGGGTCCCAGGAATATGACCACTGATTATGTTCACATAAGTCCTCAAGCCCCAGATGACTTAGAAATCTCTCCCTGAGATGAGAACAAGATCTTGTGTGTGATGGTTTTAAGAGTTGCAGAGCTTGGGCCTAGCGACTCACATTCACCCTCTGTGGACCTGTGCTTCTGTGAGCATTCAGGGCTTTCCTCAGCAAGGATAAGTACCTTTTTGGAACTTATTTCCTGATGTGGAGGATGACCCTAGGGGGCAGCATTTCTACATCTAAGTGTTGGTCTCTGCCAAGTTCACCTTCTGTCTTTTGTAAGCATCTCTTAGAAATCTTATTTTAAAAGATTCTTTTCCTTGTCCCTTCCAAGGCTGTTTGTTGATCTTGGAATTCTATTTTCTGACGTTTTGCATTCTCAGGATCATTTTCTTTCTTGCATCGTTTAGTTCATCAGGTTCTATTTCTTAATCCATAAAGTAAAAACAAAATATGAATAGTTAAGAAAATAACATTTTGCTGTTAAAATATAAATCGAAAGTCTTTTTTTGGGAGGGTTACACTATGTACAAAATAAGCACTGTTTTCTGCATCTCAGCAGTCTCTTGGGTAACTTAGCTCTTGTGTATATAACTACATTTTGTCCAACATTTCTGACAGTACTCTCTCTGGCATCACTGAAGTCATTTAATGCCCCTGGAAAACTAGAAAAGTTTTGAGGTTCTTCAGGAAAAAAAATCAGAGATGTCTTAGTTCATTATACAGAACTCATCGTGATGCCCATCAGGCTCTAGTCTAAGGGGACAGACTTACCCCACCCCTGCTGTGCTGCTGCTGTACCGGTGGTCCCTTCAGATGCCCACTCTGCTCAGATTTGAAAAAAAAAAAAAAAGGAAAAGAAAATCCAACTCAGACCATCATAAGAAGCAACTTTCCATTTAATCATTCTACATGGATTTTTACTTTTTAAAAAGTTTTGTCTGGCAAGAAAATCTAAACAGTCCCCATTGTCCAGACCCCTGGCCTGCCCCGCTGAGGCTGCAGTGATGTCTCCCAGAACCTGGTGGCACCAGTAGAAAAATACCTGCAGAATAAGAGGACAACAACAGCTCTCTTGTCTTCAACTAGCATCCCATCTGCTAGGTGACACCACTGCAGTAATCAGTAATAGTAAAATAAATTATTTTTTATTTGATACTTTCAAAATAATACACATCTATGAAAAATCAAAATTCAAAACCAAAAATTATCCTGCAAAATTGAAAGATGAGAAAGAGTTGCTGAGCCTTTCTTGAAAGAACCTCTGAAGAAAATGAGTTTTCCCAGTTTGTTTAGACAGGGCGTGAGCCTATCCCTTTCTTCTGGGAAATAACCCTCCTAGGCTGCAGTGGACTTTGAGTCATGAAAGGAGGACTTGGTATGTGTGCCGATGGTTCCACGATGGGTCCCATTGCTGGGAATGGGTAGCCGGGCTCCTTGGTCCACCTGGCTAGTTATTGGGAGGAGTCATGCCTTCTCAGGTGTCAATGAGCAGGCTCACCACTGAGCGGATTTTGCAGGCAAACCATCGCCTGAGGGGACAAAAGTATTGATAGTGGAATTGTTCAAACTCTGGGGTCTGGCGGATATCTCGGAAAAAGGCAATGTCAAGGTCAGACTCGGTAAGGATGATCAGGAGGAGGAGCAAAACAAAGAGGAGTCCCATGGTCACAAGGAGCAAACGGAGGACACTTAAAACAAACTTATTCACCTGTTCCTCCTCTGGCCCGCCGTGCCCCTGACACAGGGCCCTCAGCTCTCCTCCAAGGGCCTCCACCTCTGCAGCAGTTGGGGTGCTGGCCTCAGACTCCTTCTCCTCCTCAATGCTGCAGGTGGCTCCATTGATCTGCCGGGAAAGCAGCATCAGCTCCAGACTGTGCTCAGCCACAGGGGTGGGCAGCACGCTGTCTGCAGGGCTGTAGGCCTCATCTGCAATCACAGCTACTCGCTCGTTGCTGTCTGCCCGGCTGCTTCTCACGTGAGGCAGAAAGGTGTCTCCGTGGGAAGAAGAACGCACCGGGGTGGAATGGGCACTGTCCCGTAGGGACTCGAGGCCTGGAAAAGCAACAAGAACATGAATAGGCTTTCTGGATCCTAGTGTATACTTGTTTGATTGGATGCACAACCCAGTAGTAGTAGCAGTGGCTACTACGTTGTTTTGACATAGCAAGAAGAGGACAAAAGCAGCAGCAAAAACACAGTGGCCATTTTGGAAGATTTTTCTTTTTGCTCATAGATTTGACTTATTTAAGATTCTGCTTTTCCTGCCTTGAATTTCTTGGGCCTGGTGTTAGCCCCAGTTAGAGGATCTGAATTTCATTTAGACTGCCCCTGATACAGCACTGAGGCCAGGGTTCAGAAATCCGAAGGCTGCCTTTTGAGTGGAGAATCCTCAGAGGCAGGAATGGGGAAGGGAGGAGGTGAATGTATTCTGCCTACTTGGGCTTCCTTAAATACTGATTGCTAAATACTGTTTATCCTTGTTAACAACCCAGCATGCAAGGTCTTGAGCTCATGAGGCATCTATTAGGAATACTGCTCTTCTGACCCCTAAAACTACCCATTATCTCTTTTTTCTCTGATGGAAAATTTCTCTCCTTCCAAGATTCCCCGAGGGCTGTTTCTCTAGCAGGAAAAAAACAGGAACTGATTATACCCTCAACTGAATAGCAGCCACCCAGGCCAGAGCCTTCAGGCTCACATTCACCACATATGAACCACATCAAAGTGTTCCCCAAAAGTGGCTTCTTGTTTCAGGCATGGTGACCTTGCATCTTCCATTCCAGGTCATCTTAGTAGTGCCAAAGTAGCTCTCCTGGATTTTGTGGCCTATGATAAGAAAAGCGACTCCCCTTCTGTTGCTCTGAATAGACCCTGATGCATGCACCAGGTTGACAAACTGAATCGGGTTCCCAGCACACCCAGGGCTGATATAGGCAGTTGTCTGGTTTAGGATTAGCTCTAGAAGCCCAAAAGTCTCTCTTAAAAAGGTGTCAATAACCTTTGCACAGAGTGGCTCCGCTTCCTGGACTCCCTCATAACAGGTAGCCCACCTGACTAGCTTGGTGGATCCCTTCTCAGCACAGGTGCAGTTAAGGATTCTCCAGAGGAACGAGCCCTGGAATTGGTTCTGAGTAGGGGTGGAAGGTGAGGATGACGGCAGGGCAACCACTATCCATTGCCATGGCTCTCAACTTCTGCTTTCAGAATCTCCTTATGTTCCAGCAGTATGTCATTCATCCTTATGCTAAAATCTTAAATTTATATGTTTTAAACTTTTAAAGCACTTTGGTTTTGTCCTTCAAAAACTCCATGAATTAGAGTGAAATGTTACAAAATTTTCCTGAAGTCATATGGTTGGTTGCTAATGGCAAACCGAGGGTGGAATCTAAGCCTCTATTTCATGGTGTTACTGATCATGTAGTTGGATTCTGAGGGAATTAACACCTGCCTTAGAGATTTAGGTCTTTTTTTTTTTTAATTATTATTGCTATTCTTTTTTAAAAATATTTATTTTTAGTTGTAGTTGGACACAATACTTTTATTTATCTTTATATGGTGCTGAGGATCGAACCCAGGGCCTCGCATATGCTAGGCAAGCGTTCTACCACTGAGCTACATACATCCCCAGCCCCGAGATTTACGTCTTAACTGTACAAGAAACTGTTAGAAAATGACATGAAATAAAGAGCCCTGTCCCTTCTTCCAGAGCTCTTGATGCTCTTTTGACCTTTATTAAAACCCAATATTTTTCTCTGATGCCCCCATTGGCACATGCTACAACAGAAATATGTATCTTGGAGTATGTCATGGGTCACTGATAAAAAGAAACATCAAGGCCCTGGTAGTATGTTGCTGGCTTGGCTTTTTTCCCAAGTACTCCTTTGTCCCCTTTCTCTGTAACCTCAGCACAGGGCACTGATACCCTCTCAAAGGCCTCCCCTCTAACAAGGACAACTCCAACTGCCAGATCTTCCAAAGCATGACCAGCATTGCTGCCAGTAAACACTTCAATGCAAACTTAGCTTGGCCTACAATTAAGCTCTAAGCTGGTTGGGGAAGGACAGAGGCAGACATTGTGACATCAGAGAACAAGTCAGAGTGACCAGAAGCCATATTAAGTTATTGGTGCTCTCAGTAAATATAGATAAAAGGTATGCATTTCCAGTAGACTTCCTGGCCAACTATGATTGCTCAGGAAATAATCTTCTCCCCCAACAGATCTCACCTCTAAGGTTGTTATTCCATGTCAGGTTAGTCCTGAATAAGAATTTCAGTTTTCACTATTATAGAAACCACCACCCATCCAGCCCTTCATCAAACTTATTAGTCTGGGGTGGATAGGGTGGGCGCTGTGGGAAGGATCTAGGCTAAAGTTGGCACAGCAAAACAGGAGTGCGTCTTTTACCTTGGAGTTGCTTCAGCTGACTCCCCTGCCCAGAAGTGGCTCTCCATGAGCTGGGGGTCACAGTTGTCAGGACCCTACCCTGGAGCCGGGGCCCCATCCTCAGGATACGCACGCTTAAGGGCCGAAGGCAGTGATTAGTCAACCGGAGCTGAACGCTGACTCTGGTGTGAATCTTAATCAGACTCTTCCCCATGGTGGCCCAGGAAGGTGGATACTTCTTTAGTGGAAACCAGTTGATTTCTTCAGGGAAACCAGCCGGGCAGGGGAGATACAGAGAGGAAAAGGACGGAAAGCCAACTAGGGACAAAGGATTTTCCCATGCCACAGCAGCCCCTTAGCAGTGTGTGTCCTGTGTGGAGAGAGAAGGTCTGTTCCCTGAGCTTCATCAGGCTGAACTACAAGGAAGGAGCAGCTTGGAGAGGCCAACGTTGTTATCAGGGGACTGGATTTAGTACTGAGCAGCACTTAGGGCCATAAAAAGTAATGCTTCCCAGCCTGTAGTTCTTTGCCTGAGGCCCATTTAAGGGCCAACCTCTCAAAGGACAAGGGACAGCAGAGGGCAAGGACCAATCCCAGAGGATAGGGGAATCAAGATTTTGCCAGGAAATCTAGGACGTACAGACAAAAAGACATTAGGTTTATCCAGGCTACCTGAGTGCAATGAAGTCATGTACTAGCTTTGGGCTTGATGGCTCTGAAGTGTGGGGAGGTGACTCTGGGGCTGGTAAAGGAATGTGTCCCATCTTCTGTTTGCTTCCTGCTGAGTGGTGCCCCAAAAGGCACAATGTATGAAGGGAATCAGCATACTTGAGCCTTATCTCAGTGTCAGTCCTGTGTTGATAAAAGGACTGTTTTTTCTTTTTAAAGGGCCCCTCTTTATTGAGATTAACATAGAATTAGTTTAAAGTAAACCTTATAATGTTTTTGTAATTTTCTTCCATGGCTTTTGGAGATAGCAAGTAAAGCTCCTCCTCTGGAAAAGTCGAATGATTTCTGAGGTACTAATTTATGTGCTCTATGGACTCTAAAAGTGTCGGATGGCTCATGCACCAGTTTCACATGTCCAAGAGTAAGTTCCCTGGGGTTTTGGTTGATTGTGCCCTTCTTCCAAGGCTCTCATTACATCCCTCAAGGCTTCTCCCTGCCCTGGCTGGGTGGAAATATTTTTTATTTCCACAGGCTTGGTAGTCCTGCACTGATAGTCATTTAACTGCTAAAGTCATATTTTTTCCACATCCAGATGAGATGTCCACCTTCTTCTATCTTGTCTCCCCCTTAGGCTGGTGAGGGTCACTCCTACATAGCTGTTCCTACCTACCCAACCTGAGCCAATGAGTCCTATGAGGTGCATGACTAGGAATCTAGGCTGTGCTTGGCTGCTGGCACCCTTGGGTATGAAGTGTGAGGAGCAGGTTGGTTTGGTGAGTACCATGTGGGAGGCTGCTGAGCCATAATCTGCCAACTGAGAGGTTCTATGAGGAGCAATTTTGAGGAAGTACCCTGGCCCTTTGGAGTTTGTCCTTCTCAGCAAGTCCTCCCAACTGCACCTCCCCTGGCATTTTGCAAGCAAGGTGAAGAAATTGGAGAAGGAACCTATGGCTGCAATAGGAGAAAATAGGATCTGTTTCAAAGGGGAAGAAATTCACTTCCCTGAGATATATACTTCTGAGAAGAGGGACAGCAAGAGCTATGCTCCATTTTCTAGCTCAGCCTAAGATGGAGGGGGTGGGGAGACATAGGAGGCTATGTTGATGATGGTCACATCTCCATAACTCCACAACATGCTTGGCAGTTCACAAGGCACTCTCCCACACCCTGCTCCATTCCACAGTGTGGGTGACAGGCTAAGAAGCCACTTGCCCCAGAAAATGCATCGCTGAGCTTCTGTTCAAACCTCCATGTTGATTCCTCCTTAGGGCTTGGCCCTGTGCTTGCTGCCTGCCTGCCTTAGGAAGTGCTTTACAGTACTCTTAAAAGTACTTGGCATATATCAATTCCTTTGCCACTCAAGGGACAGGCAAGGAAAATGTCCCTGTTTTATAAATAGCACAACTAAGATAATTGTAATTAATATACAAATAATTAACTTGATGGTGGTCATCTAGCCAGGTTTTTCAGCTTCTGGGATGGAGTTATATACTACAAGCAGGTGATTCATACTTAGGTGATCTTATGACACATCCTAAAAAACTAAATACGAACCAGAGATTCTCCCAGGGGACTAGCAGAGCAACACTTTCCCTAACCTGAGCAGTTTTTCATTTCAATAACAAGCAACATTCCCACAGAAAGGGCATAGGGCCTTCCCTCTCCAACTTCTACTCCATAATTCCAGGACAGAGAGGTTTGAAGCAGTCTTGCTGTTTGCCATCCTCTGGGGCCTTATAAAACATCATCTTTGAGAATGATAGTCAAATTTTACATCCAGCCTGTGAATAATGAGCCAGGTCCATGACAACAGCTAGAGGGCAATATTCTGAGGACATCTCCTAACTGAACTGACTACCTAGAGAACAGAACAGAGGTTGGCCTCAGATACCAGGGTGCCTAGTTCAGCAGATACACAGAATTTCTCTTCCCACCTCCCCCAAAGGGAGGGAGGAGAGAGGCAGAGCATACTGACTTCCTGAGACAGCAGTAAGTTCACATAGCAATAGCACAGATTTCTATAACTGAAAGATAAGGTGGTGACAGCTATTGGAAGAACCAAGTTTTTATTTCTTGGTTAACTGTCTCATTCATCCTAATCATACAAGCTGTGGAGACTGGTCAGATCTAGGAAATGAAGGGAAGGCCTCTTGACAAAGCCATTCTCAGAACTGCATGGCACCTGGCAAACTCCACATACAAATCTCCCAAAGGGTTAACCTCATTCACTCAGATCTACACCCCATCCTGGATCATAGTACACAGGCCTGGTAAGACGCCCCCTTATCCTGTATCCAGCTGATGTTCCCATTCTCTGGGTAATAACTTATAACCTGCTGCTGGGCTCTTTCTTCCACAAAACCTACTGTTGTCTCAAATGCAAATTAGCTTCTTTTTCAAGGGCCCTGAACTTGGCCAAGTCACAACACGGAGGGACTCAATATCATCTCCAGGAGCTCAGGCTCACCTTCCATGATGGAGATGTGAACAGCTCTTCTGCGGGTCCTGGGGACACTGCTCAGCCGTGGGCCATGGGTTATAGAAGGACAGCTCCGGCTGGGAACCATCCCTGCTCTGAGGTAAAAGGAAAAGAGAAACCTTTTCACTCAGTGAACAGACAGATGTAGGTGTGAGCTACTAGAATGTTTGCTTGTATTAGGTTTGGGTTCTTTTTATTTTATTTTATTTTTTTATGTAATGCTGGGAATCAAACCCAGGGCCTCACACATGGCAGGTAAGCACTGAGCCACATCCTGAGCCCCTGGATCCTTTAAAAAAAAAAAATCTTTAGTACCTTCTCTTTGCTCTTGGCCCTTGGATCCCAATAAGAGGCTCTGCTTCAAACTCTACCACCTCCTTATACCCCAGACTCACCTAAACCTTTCTTTAATGGGGCAGGAGTGGTCCTGGACTGGACTGTCAGGGAATAGAGCCCCAGGATGAGCAGTATTCCTGAGAATGTACCAACACTGGTAGCCTCCCCTGACTTCCCCCAGAGGCTGCTGCATGGGGGCTATATGTGGAGGGGCAGGCAGCAGTGTTCCCATTCCCAGAGGCAAAGGCTGGCCCCAGATCCTAGTGTTCTAGGCTAATCACATTCTTTCTGGGTCTTACCCATTTCTAGGAGAGGCTACTGGAAATGCATGAATTATGGATATACATGAGGCATGTATCCTGAAACTATTTTAGACCCAGAGTGGCAGGGCTGTGAGGCTATCTCTGGCTTCCTATAATGGATGGATTCCAGAACCAATGAAATATTGCTGCTTTGTCATATCCTCCTTGGTCTGTGATCAATATCAAGATTTGGGAGAAGAGAAGAGAATCACAGGGAGGTAGCACCTAGGTCTGCATATTATTCACAAGTAGCCTGGCCCGCTCTTGTTTTTTATCATGGGTTAAAGACTTCTCATTCCTCCAGCTGGGACAAATTTCTTCACCCTTCTGCCCTACTCTCCTCCTCTTTTGGTGGCCATTGTGACCAGGAGCTTCACTGAACTCAAACTACTAGGTCTTTTGAGATTCTGGGATCTGAGTCGGAATGGTTTCGAGGAGCTCCTGGCAACCTACCTGTGTATTTCCGGTGGCTCTCGTTTGATCTTGGCACTCGATTCCATTACTTCCTTTGCAACTCGGCCACTGTAAGTAGTAAAATAAAAACAGAAAGAAGTGAGATTGTGTTCTAGGACTGTTACTCTAAGATCTTATGTACTTTGGCTGAATAAGAAAATGGCCTCTTTGGCCTACCCTTTCCCCAATCCTTTGGTCACTGAGAAAGGCTTGCTTGCCAGGATGGAGTTCTAAAGTGTCATGACATCCTATCTTAAGAGAGTTTTCTCCATCTCTGGACTCTCTGAGATCTTCCATTATCATTGAGGAATGATTTCTCATTGCCCAGCATTTCCAGTAACATTACCAAAACTAAACAAAAAAACTCTGTATAGACAGTGAGACATTAGGAATCACTGTTTCAGTTCTAATTGGGCTGCTGTTGTAAGTTGAAGAAGAGACACATTTAAAACCCTACAGACAAACAGCTGCAGGGAAGGAAAGAAATAGTAAAAGGGTTAGAAGTCAGGAGAATTGGATGGAAACCTCAGGCTGTGCTGAGAGTTCCTCACTTTCTTTGTTCTCAAGGATAAGGCCCACTGAGTGACTGTCCGCCAGAGAAGGGTCTGAAAATAGATTCATAATGGTTACTTACTGTCACTATTTACCTGTATCGGAACCGGCTCCCTTTAAAGAATAAATTGCTGCTGGACACTGTGCGGACTTGGCTTGATTTCTCCAGCCTGTAGCAAGGCAAAGTTCAGTGTGACCAATGGCCTAAACCTGTCTCATATAGGCCAAAGCTGCACATTCCCAGCTCCTTCCAAAGGCCATGTGAGGAAACTTGATTCAAGAAAAAGCCCTGGGTAGCCCACGCTTGTCTCAGGACTGGAGGCTGTGTTCACAGCCAGGTGCCCTTCTGTCTCAGGGCCTGACAGTCACATGGAAGCCTATTTTAATGTCAGGAGAGTGAAGGCCCCTGAGAAGGTTTATAGAATTGACCAAGGTAACCCAGGAAACAAATGTTAGGGATAATGGTCTGGTGAAAAGAAGAATGCCATCCTTCTAATCTCAGCCATGCCTTTATTGGCAGTGTGACCTCAGATCAGTCTTTTTATTTTTTTATATTTTGCAGTACTGGGGATTGAACCATGCATGTTAGGAAAGCACCCTCCTACTGAGCTACATATCCAACCCTTCTTTTTTTTTTTTTTTAAGAGAGAGGGGGGAGAGAGAGAATTTCTAATATTTATTTTTTAGTTCGGTGCTGAGGATCGAACCCAGGCCGCACGCATGCCAGGCGAGCGCGCTACCGCTTGAGCCACATCCCCAGCCCTCCAACCCTTCTTAAATTTCATTTTTGAGACAGGGTCTTGCTAAATTTCCCAGACAATCTTTGAACTTATAATCCTCCTGCCTCAGCTTTCTGCTGGAATTACTTGCACCACCACACCCAGCCTCAGTCGTCTTCTCTATGAAATGATGGAATTGGGACTACTTGACCTCAGAAGTCCCTTCTAGCTCTAGTATTTGATGCTTTGTGTCCTTCTCTGGGTAATTGTGGGTGAAAAGAGGGTAGGGGCTGCCCTTTCTGTTCCATTTTCCTGCTGGGGAGTCCTAACATGCATTCTCATAATAAAAATTCAGAGACGTCCTGTGGTGAGGAAACCAGTATAATTTCAATAAAAATTCTATCATTTATTTGAATTTGGAGCCATTCTGTTTTCCCCAGATTACCTATTTGACATCACTTTTGAAACTACAGAGAGCTAATGTGGAGATCTGGGAAGGCCATGGGCACTGGAAAACATCCTCCTGGTGGCTTTGCTGATCCCATTAGTTCTCTCATCCTTAGAAATTGAGGCCTGGACAGAACTGCCCAGGGAGGTCTCCAAGATCTGACTGCCGTAAAACCCTCCCAGGGTGCCTATAGTACTAATCCACTGGGAGTCCATCTGGCTCTGACGTCTCTGCCATGATGGGCATTGAGTATTTAAGGAACTGTCTCCACAATCCATGAACAGTTCCTGGAAGACACCACCCCCTCCACCCCATCTCAGAGCTCTGTGAGGATTCAGCCTACTTGCCCTCCTGCCTCAACATGTTCTTGAGTCTGCCCCAGCTATCTTCAAGGCACTAGGCCATAGGCAAGATGGGGACCTGTGTGTCAGAGATGCTGAAAATGGGCTGAAATGATTGGTTGCTACCAAAGACTTGATGTAACTGGTATCTGATCCAGGCTGGAAGCTTTTAACAATTAGGACATTAAGGAGGCAATGGAAAACTGAAAAATGACCTCAGTTTCTAGTGTGGGTGCAGAGGAAAAACTCAGAAACTGAATTTGGTTACAGGTTTAGAAGCAAACTTCTGTTATGGGCGGTGGAAAACAAACCTTTAAGAACAGGTGCTGGAGAAAACAAGAGACAAAGGACAAAGAGATTCCTTCTGTTTGTGTTAGACCATTTAGGAGGGAGGGAGATATATATCTGGCTTTCCTCTCTTTGTTGGGGAGACTCAGGGAACCCCATCCTTCCTGTGTTGCTTCTCAGTCCCACAAACAAGAATTTGCTTCTCAAGTTGCTTCTCTCAAGGTTCATGTAACTGACCAAAGCTGAGCTCTGTCAAAGGCAAAGGGAAGGTGGTGGCAAAAGAAAAAATGTTCGCTTGGCTTTCCATGGAAAGCAGAGACTGAGTAGAAGAATTTGGCCGTGCTAAAGTCTCTCCTGAGTGTCCTCTTCATGAAATGAAAGACATCCCCTCAGGTTAGAATTCAGACTGCCTATTCAGTTCATCATGGTGTTGGTATCAAATGTACAGTATTATTTAGCAGTTCAGAAAGCCTGCCCAAGAAACAAGCAGCCTCTGGAGCTGTGGCCCCAGAACAGCAGCAGGTAACAGAGTCTGCTCACTGGGGAGGGGAATGGTGCCCAGTCAGCCCCCGGCAAGTCAGGTCTCTTCAGGATCCTTTAGGGGCATTTGATGATAGCAAGGCTGACCCCAGGTAGAATACACCAACTGTACTGCCTTGTCCTAATCAAGACACATCTTATTAAAGCACAAATTTCTTTCTTTATTTCTCTCTTTCTTTCTGGCACAGGAAGAAACTCCGGGGTACTCTATCACTGAGCTACATCCCCAGACCGTTTTATTTTTTTTACTTTGAAATAGGGTTTCACTAAGTTGGCCAACCTGGCTTTAAACTTGCAATCTTCCCATGTAGCTAGGATCACAGGCATATGCCACTGCCTGTGGCTCCCTAATGCTTTTATAATCTTCTTATAAAAATTAAAAAAAAAATCTTCTTAAAAAATTTTTTTAAAAAATTATGGTTGCTTGGAATTGACACAGGGCCTTATACATACCAGGTAAGCATTCTACTAGTGAGCTACATCACCAGCTCGACACTTTTTTTTCAGTACTGGGAACTGAACCCAAGAGTACACTACCACTAAGCTATATTTCCTAGCACTTTTTAAAAATTTTTAATTTTGAGGGACTGGGGTTGTGGCTTAGCCGCAGAGTGCTCACCTAGCGCACATGTGAGGCACTGGGTTCGATTCTCAGCACCACATAAAAACAAATAAACAAAATAAAGGTATTGAGTCCATCTAAAACTAAAAAATAAATAAAATAAAAATTTAAAAATTTGAGACAGAGTCTCACTAAGTTGCTCATGCTGGCCTTGAACTCACAAGTTCACATCCTCCTGCTTAGCCTCTTAGCTGTGTGCTAACATGCCCAGCTCCTGCCACTTACTTTATCAAAGAAAAGTGAACACAAATAACTCATACTTTACAAAATTATTTAGTAAGCACAATTCACCTTTGGCCTAAACCTGGCTTCCCAATAGTGGTTAAGCCCTTGCCCCTCCAGTGAACCCACCCTAGGCTCCTGGGTACTTGGTCTGTTGTTGGCTATACCTTTGGTAGTAACACAACAGGAGGGGCTGGCATCGATCCCAGCTCAGCACTGGGCAACCCACCAAGAGACAGACCTCAGAATTTCTCCAAAGAGTGGGGCTTTGGGTTGTACCTGATCTTTTATCAAACTGTTGTGCTCCAGGCCTTCCAGGGCTCTGAATGATTCAACAAGGACAGCATGATTCAAATTAAACACCCTTTGTCTACCCCAAAAGGTCATTACTCCATCCTGGAGGCTGTCCAAGGACAGACACCTCTAGGCAGACCCTTGGGCTACTTAGCAGAAACATTCCCTGCCTTTGGCTGTGTACCTGGGGTGGGGGGGCACAAAGACCCAGAAAGGGGTCTGAGTTTTACTAGGAAGCCAGCCTTGTCATCTCATGTCTCCAAGTCTCCTGTCTCAAGATTTCTCAAGGTTCACATGCCCATTTTTTTCTTAAAAAGCAACCTTTGTGACTTTGCCTCTGATAAAGATGGTCCCCATCATGTGTCTACTCACTTGTAGAAGGCTTGGTTCTCAATTCCACATTTCCAGAGGTGCTTGCAGGCTTCTGGAGTTGGAGCAAAATAAGTGAGAATAATTTTCTTTTCCTGCAAAAAAATTTCACATAGAAATGACTGAGTGTGGATGAAGAAATGAAGGGTGAAGTAACCGGGAAACTAACCCTTGTGCTGCTGGAAGCCCCCAGCAGCTGGCTAGCTGGAAGAGAAGATCCAGAGGACCCACTGGGGCAGACCTCAAGTTCAGTGAATCACCTAACACCTGGCGAGTCCAATCAGTATAAGTCTCAGCTGTCACAAGTTGATCCAGGAGAGCCATTAGTGAGAAGTGGCATTTGCATCTGGAATTTCCGTATATGGAAAAAGAATCTCACTTTGACTACATTTCCTGGAGGAAGGGATCCCTTGGGTGAAAACTCTGGGTGTCATCAGCATACCTGAGAAAGTATGTGCTCCAGAAGCTTCCTACCCTTCATACCTCACCTCCAGGTCTTGACTTGATGTTGGCTGAGCATGTGAGTGGCTTAGCTCTACTTGGACCCCATAGACTTGGCTCTAGACTTCAGGAGCCATCGCAGTGCCCCAGCCCTCCCTGAAGAGAAGGAAGCCAGCACTCACCTCTTTCTGACTTACATATAAATAGAAAGTCTTTCCTTCAAATTTCAGCTTGGTCACTTCATTCCTAGAAGCACAAAAAGAGTACCTGTCACCTTGATGTGGGCTGCTGGTTCACAGCTAAGTCTTGTAGATGCACAGCCCACCCCAACTGGAAGGGGCTCCAGGCACAGACACAATTTTAGCCAAAATTAGAACTGAAACAAGACAGCAGCGCAGTGGCCTTAGAGAACGGTTGTTGGAACAGTTCAATCCACAGTTTTCTGGTCAATCACACTATAGTAATAGGGTGATAGGAGGATTTCGGGCTCATCAACAGTGGCTGTAAAAGGGAAACATTTGCATGGAAAGTGAGTCTAGGTAGAGTGTCCGGGTCATTTCAGGATTTGGTTCATAACACAGGTGCATTATCTGGATGGGACTGTCAAATGTAAGATGCCACAGGTAGCTGATGAGGCCAAAGTTCAAGATACAGCAAATAATGAAATACAATGCAACCAGGTTCTGAGGGAGTTGAGTCTTTCAGGTGACTGTGCCACTGGATGGAAAATGCAGTTTAATGCAGACAAATGTCAAACAATCTCAGGGAGGGGGCGGGGCAACATACCAAAGAGAGAGAACAGATTACATGGAACAGTCATGCAGCGTACTGACCAGGAAAGGGGCTTAGGGGTTATTGTAGAAAAATCCTTGAAGCCACCAGCCCAGTGAATGGCTGCAGTAAAAGAGGCAAACAGGATACTGGGGTACGTCACCCGCAGGACAGACACAAATCAGAAGAAGTGACATGGTTACTGTACATGGCACGGCCTAGACCTCATCTCCACACATTGCTTTCAGCCTTGGTTACATTTACAAAGTGAAAAAATTACTGGGGCCTTAGGAGGATGTCCCTGAGAGCCAGAGAACTAGGCCTTGGCATCAGTTGCTGCTCACTTCACTTCTATCTGCCCAGCACAGCTACGCTCAGGAGCCACAGGCCCTCTACCCCTCTCCGGAGAGCCTATTTTTCCGCCCATTTGAGACCCCTAAGGAGGTCTGATTGTGTAGATCTGCTTCCACTTTGCTTCGTCCTCTTGGTAATTTCTAGGGAGGTCTCCTCAATATCCTAGTAAGTAGAAGAAGGGTAATAAGCACTATGTACCGAATTTATACCTGGACATACTTCAGGAGACAGATAAATCACTTATTCTTTATGGTCCTGCAAATCATGATTGGGTCAGGATGATACTCTACAACTTCTGACCAGCAGTTTTGACCTAGGACCAGTCACGTAGCATTCCCTCCATGTTTGATTCCCTTTCATTCTCCCTTTTAGTTGGTCAATCATCAATCTCACATACTCACATACACGACATTACATATCCCGAGGTTAATATACAGGCAAGTACACAGATTATTTAGGCTGTATCAAGCAAGATAGAAAATTAAGGGTTTTCTTTTGAGGGTGAGGTTGGGTTTATACCTGTATTATAAAGTCGAGGGGCCGGGGCTGTGGCTCAGTGGTAGAGCATTTGCCTAGCATATGGGGGCACTAGGTTTGATTCCCCGCACCACATAAAAATAAACAAATAAAATAAAGGTATTGTGACCATCTACAACTAAAAAAGTATTTAAAAAAGAAAAATAAAGTTGAGACACGGTGAAGAGACTCCCTGAAGAAGTGGTACATGAAAAGAAGAAAAAGATCGAGAAGCAGTGTGGCTTCTGGAGGGCAAGGGATAATTAGAGACTATAAGTATCTGTAAGAGTGCTTCTTACTTGTTCCTAGCTAATTGTGTCCTCTAACAGGGTCCTCATGAAACAGCTACCCTGGTCAGAATGTCACTGTCTAAGGAACATTGAATATCCCAGATATATCCAGGCAGCAAATGATGTACACTAGGAAAAATGTGATCCTGCTCATTGTCTTTTTCTGAAAAGTATTTTGTTGGACAGATTTCAAATCCTCACATCAACACCCAGAGAGCACAATGAGGACCACTTGAGGAAGCCAAGGAAGCTGGTATGTTGGGTAACTCCAGGCAGCAGGCATGTCTGTATGTCTGAGTAGCAGTTTCTCTAGCACTGTTGTAGATCATCCTGTTGCTGTTATTCATAAGAATAATCTGGGTTTAAAAATGACTGGTGTTCTAAAGAGGGCAGAGGAGGGCAGACACCTACAGCACCCCAGAAAAAAGCTGATTGGAAACCAGCTCTGTACTCAGACCCTTCATATGCTCTTCTGGAGAAGGTAAGGGGATGAAGACAGGGAGCAAGCTTTGCTACTGAGTTCTGCTGGACCAAGGAAGCCATTTATCCAAGTCCATTGGAGGAACTGGCCAGCTTAGACATGGCAGGCTGAGACCTAAGCAGGCACAGAAATCACAGGGACTTAGTAGAAAATGCAAAATGTCCTAGGGAGGCTGATAATGTTTGCAGGGGCCAACCATCCAAAAGGGCTCAAGTATAATTCAAATGGCAATCAACAAATTGGAGTCTTCCCAGCCATAAAGAATAGTGCCCAAACAAAACAAAAACTGGCAGGAGGAAATGCAGTTCTAAGAAGCCGCAGCTGTGGCAGAGGCTCTTGCCTGCTAGAAGTGGGAGTGGAGAGTAGGGGAAGGAAGACAGTGTGGACATGACTCCTGGAGGCGGAAGACACTTAAGGCCTAAAGGGGAATAGGAGTGAGAGCAAGCAGCATCTGAGCTCTTGCAGACCAGTTGCCCACAAAGGAGGTTGGTCTGAGAGGGTGTTGTGCAGAGTAACAGGATGACTTATCTGCCCTAGGGGTCATGGTCTGTGTTGTGGAGTAAATAGGGGAGTTGGGCCATCTACGGAGATGCTCTCAAGCAGCCTTAATAGGGTTGGCAATGGTCCTTAGCAGGTGATGGCACCAAGGACTCAATTCTCTTGGGAATATTGCTTCCCTAATATTGGCTCCAGCCCCAGGCCTCCTTAGAAATTAAATCTTAGTCTTTCTCTCTCTGGAGAGGCTGTTGGCTCTCAGGGACAACCTTGTGGAAGAATAGGATCCCTAGGAAGAGACCACTACCTTCATCAGTTACCATTCTCAACACAAGGCTTTGGAGAGGGCTCCGAACCATAATTGCCCAATCACAGACAAAGGACATGGGAACCACAGCCCCTCCCCAGTTAGTGAGATATAATGAGCCTGTTTTGGAAATGAAGATACTCACCATTTAATGAAGTGGACCCTCTTGTTTCCTTGAAGAACAACAAACCCAAAAGGAGTGAAGGCCAGAAATGCAGCATTTCCTGACACATCCTGCAACATAGAAAGACTTCTCATTGGGGTGACGTAGGCACAGAGGTGAAAGAGTGAGAAACACAGTTCTTCATAGGGAGGAAAGGTTACTACCTCACAGAAGGTTGCAGAGGCAAGAAGCAGGGCATCTGGAATCACTAGACTATGGTTAGAGTCCCAGCCTTGCCACTCACCAGCTTACTGAGCCTGTTGCCCTTATCTGGAGGTACCAACCTTAGAATGTTATGAACTACCAAAGAGAACCCCCAGGCATTGGTGATGAGATTGTGCAAGGGTGTACAATTGTTAAACATAGAGTTACCATAAGATCCAACAATTCTACTCCTTGGTACGTGCCTGAGAGAAATGAAAACGTGTCCACACAGAAACTGTACCTGGATGTTAACAGTAGCACTATTCATTATCATCCAACCAGCAGTAACAGTCCAATACATTTTGCAGTGGAAAATGTCCACCAATTGACAGGTGAATAACCAAGTGGCATAGTATCATACATGGAATATTATTCAATAGTAGAAAGGAATGAAAAACCAATACATGCTACAACATGGGTGAACCTTGCAAACATCACGCCAAGTGAAAGAAGTGATCAAGTGTTGAATGATTCCATTTATATATAATGTCCAGAATAGGCAAATCCATAGAACCAAAAGGAAGATTAATGGTTCCCAGGGGCTAGGGAAAGAAGTAGGGCAGTGCTGGCTGATGGGTGTGGGGTTTCTTTGTTATGGAGGTCATGAAAATATTCTAAAATTAGTGGTGATGGCTTAAGTATGAATAACTAAAAGCCACTAAACTACACACTTAAAAGGGTAGATTTTATATGAATTATATATCAAAAAGCTGTTATTAAAGAGAAGCAGTTATCATCAACATGATGGTCCTATGACACTGGGCTCCCTCAGGAAAGTTTAGCTGAAGATAAGCAGTAATTGGCTGAGTAGAACAGTTACCACCAGCCCTGAGGTGCCTGAACCAACAGTCAGGTTCTCCTGGTCACTGGTCCTTAGTTTGTAAATATCAGGCTTGGGTTTCTGCTGAGCAACTGGGAAGATGATGTAGCAGAAGGTGTTGATCATGGTTCCGTGAAGTGGAAAAATGAGCTCCACGAGGAAGGAGCTATCTGAAAGATTACAGGGCGCTGAGTACAGTGGCACAATCCTGTAATCCCAGAAGCTCAGGAGGCTGAGGCAGGAGGATCGTGAGCTCAAAGCCAGCCTCAGTGAAAGTGAGGTGCTAAGCAACTCAGTGAGACCCTGTCTCTAAATAAAATACAAAATAGGGATGGGCTCAGTGGTTGAGTGCCCTGAGTTCAATCCCTGGCACCCCTCACCCCCACAAAAAAAGGTTTTGGGGCTTCTTTTGTGACAAAGTTCAGGTAAGAATCTACTGTCAGGCTGTCTGGTGATGACAGAGATGACCAGAAAACTAAGCAATGAAACTGGCCAAACATGCCAGAAGAATTTTCTGGCACAGCTCAGGTGATGTTATGGAGTCCATACACCTGGCAGGAGGCTTGTGAGTGGAAGCTGTGGCTGCTAGGCCAGATGAGCCTGAGGGTTGGCTCTCCTGATCCTTCGCCTGCAGAGTTTGCTACCCTGGCATAGATTTTCAGCCTGATCATCCCTATGAATATAGGGGCCTCTGCAGGGTCTGATGAGCCTTGCCTCAAGGAAAACACAGGTTTGCCTCTTGGAGTCATGCAGGTTTGAGCTTCTGGGCCCAGAGAATAAACTAATTATACATTTCACAAACATTTCTGATTAATGTGTTGTTATCATTGTCCTTTTCTTTGGGTCAAGATCCAGGAACTTGGCTATAAGCGTGGTATCATTTAACTCATGGGCATAGCAAAGTTTTTAAAAATAACTGGAATGATGGGGCTGCCATTGTGGTTCAGTGGTAGAGCACTTGTCTTGCATGCATGAGGCACTGGGTTCTATTCTCAGCACCACATATAAATAAATAAAATAAGATATTGTACCCATCTACAACTAAAAAAAAAGTTAAAAAACAAACAAAACTGGAATGAAACACTGCATGGCCACAGGGCTGGATTTCCTCCTTCCTGTCATCAGTGCTTGGTGGTGGTTATTTGCTGCGGGCCATTGCCAAGTAGGAATGACGCATCGAAATTTCCTTGCCAGCGTACCCCATGTTAAATGGACTTGCCTTGGATATTGCATGTGTCTTTGAGAAAGGTGACCCTGCTCAAGGACCAGGGGGGATCCAGGATTAAGGTGTATCCTGCAGGTTTTAGGAAGTATCCGGGTTTAAGATAATTTGGGTTTAAGGCGTTCCCGGTTTAAAACAATCTGGGTTTAGAGGGAAGTTCCAGGTTGAAGGTTATTCCTGCTGGGAATAGGGCGTTCCTGCTGCCTGAGTTCCCGTTGAGTTCTCTCGGAATTGAGAAAGTATTTGGGACATGAATTGTGCGGCAGAACTGGGATTTCCCCAGAACGTGTGTAGAGGCTGGTGTGAGTTCGGGAATAAAGAATTGCTGTTTGAATCTACAAGGTATGTGGTGGCTCGTGATTCTGTGCCCAGCCAAGACATGGGCAGTTATTAATATCTGAGAATCACACACTGCCCACAGACACTGTTCCTGCCAGGAGGCACCAGGGCTATCCTGGCTGACTTGGCAGAGATATGGACCAGAGCACAGTGGCCTCTGCGAAGAGAATGCCTGGGAGGCAGCCTGCCTCAGATGGAAGGTGAGTGCCAGGCTTTCTACTCCTTGTGCAAGCAGGATTCAGGGAAGTCCTAAAACTTAGAGACTCCAGGGTAGAGATCTTATTGTGAGGTTAAAAAAAAAAAGAGTTTCAAATTTTCTTTCTTGTGGAAAGGGCTTCAGTCTTGGTGTAGGACTCAAGCTCGGCTTATTGTTATTATTTTTTTCAGCTTATTATTTGCTCTGTGGCTTGCTTAACTTCTCCAAACCTCAGTTTTCCTCATTTGTAAAATGAGGACGGTCATACCTATAGAAACACTACCTTCTGATGTTAGGATGAGGGCCCAAATGCCTCTCTGCTAGGAGGTGGCCATTGGTGTTCCTGGAGAGGGATGAATTTGTTGTACTCATCATTAATCATTCACGAGTTGGGGTAGAACACACCATCCAACATGACCTGTATCCACTCAGCACCATGAAGGGTCACCAAGAGGACCAGAAAAGGAATTTTGGAAATCAAAGCACAGATGGATATTGGAAATAGGAACATTGGTCCTCCTCTGCCCAGTACCCCACAGGTTCTACCTGCAATTATATACAAAGCAGCCTTCTGCCAACAGCCAACCAAGAGGGTCTCCTGATGGAGTCAGGACCATGGCACTCTTGGTTGTAGGGTCCCTGGGGTTATCCTGTCCCTTCTTTAGTCAGTCTTGGATGAAGCCTCTTATTCTTGAAAAACAATAGGAAAGATGACTCCACATGCTCTTCCAGACACTAATAAATCATTTCTGAAAGAGCTAATGGTTGGGGGACCGTTAAGTCAGTCATGAAAAATCACAGTTTCAAAATACTTAAACTTAGCTCCAAGAAACTAGAATGGAAAGGAAGAGGAGGTGGTAGCACCCTATAAGAGACTTGATGGCACTTTATGACAGCTCAGAAATGGAATTCTTGGTGGAAACTTGCCATCTGAGTGGCTTTAGTCAAGTTCATCATTTCAGAAGTGAAATCTATCACCCTGTCCATAGCACAACCAAGAGGGGCCCACTCATGGTGGGAAAGTCACCTCACATCCTCTGAAGTCAGGAGCAACTTGTCAAGATGGAGGAAGTATTTCTTATTTAAAGAGGGTGAAAGGGGGCTGGATGATGAAAGTAATGATCCTATTTTAAGGTCAGAGAAACAGTACAATTTTATTTTTGTTATCTAATCTAGATCCTGCTGTAATCAATTTTCTCCTGGTCTATACAGAGCAGATATAAACTGGTAAAATTACATTAAATTTTTTTTATAATGATTACAGAAATCTTTAAAAAAATTTTTTTAGTTATAGACACAATATCATTTTTTTAAAGTTTATTTTTACACAGTACTGAGAACTGAACCCAGAGCCTCTACCACTGAGCTACAACTCCAGCCCATGATTCTAGAAATCTTTATAGGTCTGTGTCTTATCAGAATTGATGGTGACTCATGCTTGGTGCCTAAACAAATGCCATATCGGCAGAAGGAAGACCATTAACAGTAACAGCAAAAGCACTGCATTGAGACCAGATAACTCTGGGTTTGAGTCTCAGTATTGTCCTAACCAGTAACTTTAAGCATGTTAAGTTAGTCCCTCAAAGGGAACTTCTTATTCCCCTCTTATTCTTTATTATCTGTACCTTCAAAGGCTCAGAGTTCTTATCTTAAAATAAAAGACATATTCTTGGTAGTGATGTTGTAAAGATGTTATAATGCCAGTGGCTCGGGAGGCTAAGGCAAGAGGATCTCAAGTTCAAAGCCAGCCTCAGCAATTTAGTGAGATCTTGTTTCAAAATAAAAATAAAACAGGCTGGGAATGTGGCTTAGCAGTTAAGCATCCCTGGGTTCAATCCCTGGTTTAAAAAAAGACAAAAGGTTGAGATAATGTATGAAAGGACCTAGCACATGCAGAGTTTCAATAAATGGCACTTTTGAGACATATATGATAAAAAGGTCAGGCAGAGGCTGGGTATCTGTGATGAGTCTAACTGCTACAGGAGACTCAAGGAAAACAACCTTGGGGCCAGCTTGGATGGAACAAGAAGGTAGTTAAGGCTAGAGAGGCATCAGGGGCAGGGAACGTGCAACAATGGGCTTGGGCAGCTGGGGGCTTCTGCCAGGAGTGGGGAACTGAAAGTTGAGGCAGAAAGCTCGGGACAGGCTTGTACAAGTTTGGAGTTTGGGTCTTATTGCACACCTGCTAGCTAAAGGAATGCTCTGGCTGTCCTACACAGGGTTTATGGCTCCTCCTTCTGGTCCCAGGACCAGATAAGACACTCTGAGCAGAAGGAAACCACCAGTGTGTACAGGACAAACAGCAGCTTCTTAATCTGTCCAGGAGAACAGAGCCCAGCTGAAGCATTGTTCTGATTTCATTTAATTATCAAAACGATTCCTCTTCTTCTGTCCTCCCTAGGGCTGCATGCCCCAGATTCCCCGGGCCCAGAATTGCCTCTCTGTTAATAGAAATCATCAGTATTTATTATACCAAGTGCACCAGCTTGTTTCAGCTCTCCTTGTAGCGACATTAAGGGAAGTACTTGGTAGCACATCACTAAGGTGACTCTACTTACTGGTAAGAGTAAAGGCTCCCAAACTGCTCTCCTTGCTCAGGAGGGCTGAGGAAACCATGGCTAAAGCCTAATGAGAGGAGCCAAGGGACCATGTGTGGGGTCTGCCTGCCAACCTGACATAGCCCCCGGTAAGCAGAGGCAAAGGGCCCAGGAACAGGGAAGTCCAATGAGATGACCACCCCCACCTCCCCAAAGTAAGCGTGTAGGGCGTGTTTTCTGTTTTACATAGGGTACGTACGTGACCAGAGTGTGAATTCTTCCTCTGCTACTCAGGGCCTGGTGAACCTTGATGTCAACAGAACATCAGCCTTCTTGATTATAAAACCAGGAGTATAATATCCAGCCCCCTTTCCCCATAGCTGGCTGAGGAATAAATTAGAAATGATGCAAAAGGAGTTCACTGGGCCTGTGTTGGAAGGCGTGCCACATTCTGCTCTTTTTCTCCCTCCCTTGGTCCCTCCTCCTCCCTCCTCCTTTCTAGGAATTGATGCTGTGGAGGTGAGATGATAGGATATATAGGATTGGGCTGCACAAAGGGTATGAATGCTGGTTTCTCGCTGCAGCCTCTTCAGCCTCTCTATGTCCAATGTTGGACAAACTTATCAAAGTCAAGGCTGAGCCAGGAGACCGGTATTTGTTGGGTGCATGTGGATTTGGGCTGGTAACCAGTCTGGCTGCCATTCTCCATGACTTCCAGACCCCTATGGACAACAGTGGAGAATCCCACCCACCTCTAGTTAGTTGTTGTGCTTGGGGTCACTGCCTGCCCACCTCTGTGCTGTAAGCCCAGCTCAGGGACTCCTTTCATGAGTGGCCTCAAATGGATTAGGCAAGTTGGGCTCAAATTCAGACATGATCCCCATACCTTCTACTTAGCCATATCTATCTTTAAGCAGCTATGTCATTTCAGGTTCTGGAGTGACTCAGCAGCTCAGGGAGCACAGTTATTGAACATCTACTGTGTACTTAATCACAGATAAGAAAAGTGAGGATCAGAAGTCTCCAAAAGCCTCAGTAAGTAGGAGACAAGGACTGGAGCCTTGGGCCAGCTGTCCCCCGCCCCCCCAGCTCTCACTCCCATGGGGTATCTGCTGAGAGTGTCTGAGCAGTTGATAGAGAGGTTTAAATTACCTCTGTTACACAGGAAACATTATTTGGGAAGCGTTGCTAATTTGTAAGTATCGGTATATCAGTTCTTCGGTATAAACCGGCATGGATATGTTTTCTGACAGTATCGGCCCAAGAACACAGGGGCCAGATGGCAATTGACTGTACTAGTGGATAGGCAGTTATGGGGTCTGGAAGACAAGCAGGATTTCAAAGTGCCAGAATGTTTTAAGATTCATATTAAATCCTACGCAAGGATAATTCACCATCATTTCACTAGGGAGCCAAGGAAAACACTGTTCTGTCCCCATGTCCCCATAGTTTGTGCTGAATTGTGTTTTCCTTTCTTCCGGACTTATATGTGGGAGTCTTACCCCCCAGTACCTTAGAATGTAACCTTATTTGAGGACAGGATCTTGACAGAGCTAATTAAGTTCAACTGAGGTCATTAGTGTAGACCCTATTCCAATTTAACTGGTATCCTTATAAGATAGGAGATTTTGGACATCTATGAACAGAGGGCAGACAGTGTGAAGACACAGGGGAAAGACAGCCATCTACAAGCTAAGGAAAGAGGCCGGGAACAGATCCTCTGAGGCCCTCTGAAGGAGTCGACCCTGACAGCACCTTGATGTCAGGCTTCTAGCCTCCAGAGCCAAGACAATACATTTGTGTTGTTCAAGCTACCCAGTCTGATGCTCAGTTATCATGGCCTAGGAAGGGAACACGCTGCTCTTGAAACTTAGTTTCCTCTCACCTCTCAGGAAGGTTGATGTTGTTCAGCTTTTAGCTGACACTATCTCCTTCAGATAAGTTGGAAAACTGTTTTTTGTGATACTGGGGGTTAAACCCAGGAGCATTCTGTCACTGAGCTACAACCCCCAGCCCTTTTTAATTTTTATTTTGAGACAGGGTCTGGCTAAGTCACAGAGACAGACCTCAAATCTGCGGTCTTCTTGCCTCAGCCTCCCAAGTGGCGGAATTACAGGTGGCACTAACACACCTAGCCATAGCTGGTTTTACGGGCAGTGCTGTAACCTTTCTGGTATTGGAAAGGCAGGCAGAAATGTGGAGAAACTAAGGCAGAGAGTGAGAATTCAAAGCACCATGGACAGGGGGATACAGTGGAGGGAGGCAGAGAGAGATGACAGGAAGAAGCCACGGGTCTCTGCTGCTCTCAGCAGGGACTGAGGCTGCTGGTGATCATCTCCAAAATGCCAGATACGTGTGAGTAATTACAGAGGTTTCTCTGGGCGCAACTTCCCCAGCTGGTTCCCATCTCACCCTTACAGGCACATAATGGAATTAAATGTGACTCCACTGCAGTTCCTTCTGGTGACGTTTGTCACTACAGTCAATAAAACCCACTTTTGGAAAGAAACTAGATTACGGGTCAGGGAAGGGTGGGCAGTTGCTGAGTGCTTCTGATCACTCCCTGTGGGGGGCCTTCTACATTCCTCTTCTCTTCATTTCCACCAAATTACCCACTGCTGGCCAAATAGGGCCCAGTTTTGGATTGTTATTTAAATGGACTTCTTTTCTGGTGCTCTGACATTTATGTGGCACCACAGAATTATGCAGCATGGAATCCAGAGGAGTTTTCAACCTGAGACATCTTCTCTGGCATCCGTCACTGGAAGAGCCACTCCTGCACACATTGAAGGGGATAAGCATGTGGTCCTAAGCATATGGTCCTTTGCTCCTGTCACCCTGTAGAGGAGGCACAATCAGTGAGGTCTCCCACATGGGGAGTCTTACCTTACATGGGTGAGGATCCACCCCATAAGTCTCCAATGTCTGTGCTTTTCTTAAGAAGTTCAGTTCTGATGTTGCTGGTGTTTGACCACTGGAATAAAGAAAATGACATGATTTCAGGGCTTCCTGTTCTCAGAGGTTCCTCTGATACAAAACTCTCTACAAGAAGTGCTCTGAGTGAGCTACATACCTCCAGTTTTCTATAGAGTATGCTCTCTCCTTGGTTCTAGACCAATTTCAGGGATTCAAGTCTAGGTGCCAAGCCCTTTGCCTGCCACAAAATTATTTTTTCCTGTCTTGGGTTCACTGGCAGATAGATGTAACTTCAGAGTGAGACAGGCTACATAATGAATCACTGGGCTGAATGTGAACAATAGGGAGTGGTGGAGTCTGTGGCAAACTAGGGAGTACTCCCTGCATCTAATGAGTGCAGCTGCTCCTAAGTGCTGAGATTATAGGCACATGAGAGAGGGGCTAACTTTGTGGTATTTCACAATTTTGAACATTGTGTGTGTGTGGGGAAAGCACATCTGTAGCTCCGATGTAGGATACAGGTTTCTCTATAATCTAGGAGATAGCACTGTGTTCCCCACACTCCACAACAGCTCTGCCTGTCCATAGGGTGGTACTACGAAAAGGAAATAAGCTGGAAAAGGAAGAAATCAGCAGTGGATCCCAGCCATCTTTGAAGAGCCCTTTGCATCACTCTCCTCCAAGCTGCCTCTTTTGCAGGTGTGTAGATAAGCTCACCACAGAACCAGGGGCATGATCACCATCAGGATCACACATGGGCATAGAGCCCTGGAAGAGCAGATGGGCTTCTGCAGATGTGGGCTGGGCTTTGGTGTGAGGAAGGGTGGGCAGCATGATGTCAGCGATTCTGACCCCCTGGAGGGCGGGACTGAAAGTTGCTCACTTCTAAGTTTATCACTGGCCAAGTAACATGGTAGGAAAGGAAGACATGTCCACCCAAGTAAGAAAGAGGCTAGACTCCCTCCAGAGTCCCTCTGAAGAGGCCTCGCTCAATACCTTTATGTGCCAGCCTCTGTGCTACTTGCTGGAAAATAGACAGAAATAAAGCACATGCCTGGGCCCTCATGAATTCACATCAGAGTTGAAGGGAGCAGACACATTTTTACACTATGAAGGTGAGGCTGAACCTGTGTCAGTAGGTATTAGTGTGAAGGTATTAGTGTGAAGTTACATCTATCTGCCAGTGAACCCAAGACAGGAAAAAATACTTTTGTGGCAGGCAAAGGGCTTGGCACCAGAGGTGGCCAGAGCATCACTGTGCCTTCCAAGAAGCATCCTCATTCCCTGTATACAGGGTGGTGGGCAGTGTGGGCTCCATTCACCCTGGATTGGCCAAAATCCCAGGGCCCTCAAAGCTAGCATCATTTCTTAGGGGAAACTCCTGCCTTGAACAAGGTTTGTGGAGTACTCTCCCCTCTATTACTCTGACCTCTATGACCCTCTGGGCAGCTCTTGCTGGACATCCCTAATGTATGAATGAGACCTCACACAGGTCTGTTTTATCTGACCTTACCACAAGGGGTCACTATATCCCCAACACAGAGATGTGAGGAACCATGGGGCCCTGCACAGGGAGAGGTGGAAACACCGAAGATCATAACCTTGATAAGGTGTCTCTATTCCTCTGGAGTCTGGAACCTGGCTTGAAACCCACAATGGGAATAGGGACTGTTTACAAAGGCTCAGGAGGCTCCCAAGGCTCAGGAGGCTTTGGGTTACATTCTTTGGTAATACCTTAGAGTGGAGAAGGAATGGTGTGGTGTGGGCGCGGGAAGAAAAGGAACTAATTTTCATTTAATATTATCATTAGGAAACACCCCCTTCTCCCCAGTACAGTTCTTCCTCAGAACAGTGAACACACAAACATTTTTAAAGATTTTTTTTTAAAGTATGTAATGTGCTAAAACGGTGACATAACATTTTTCAAATATATATATATATATATATATATATATTTTTATTTTTTTTTTTTTTAGTTGTATATGGACAGAATACCTTTATTTTATTTATTTTTTTATGTGGTGCTGAGGATCGAACCCAGTGCCTCACTCTATCACTGAGCTACAACTCCAGCCCAGTGACATAACATTTTGCTATTATGATATTCTATTGCATATACTGATTCTTTTCATAGTTATCAGTTTGGGTGATCCATTCCATCATGATACATTGAGTGGAGCCCAAACACCCTATTCTTGTTCTTTAAAGTAAGTCTTTGTCACAGATCCTATTTCATGTGGGTAAAAGGATGGATTAATGCTTCTTTATGGAATTCTATAATTTTGGGCAAACTAAGAGACATCGAGCAAGACAAGACTCCATGTTTGAAACCACTTCTCCCCTGCATCCCTCTGTGTGGGGTCGGGGGCTTCAAGCAGGATGTGTAGTGGAATTAGGCAGTGCTAAAAACACAGACCCCCAGATATCCCACTATGTCTGTGAGTCAGAGGCCAGCCTGTGTGATCCATTTTCTGACCAGAAGTTACCTATCATGACACTGCCACAGACTGACATCAGAGTCATACTTTTTATTTATTTATTATTTTTAAAAATAACCCAAGTCAACACCTTCTCTTTCTCTCTCCCTCTCTTTCTCCATAATACATTAGATAGATCCCAGGGCCTCAGGCATGCTACCACTAGATCACACCCCTAGCCCTATCTTCTTTTCTTTTAAGATTTTCCCTTACTTGTCCACTGTAAATGCTTCTCTCTGTACTTCATTTATCTTAATGAAGCAAATACCTCTCAAAGCCTAATCCCTCTCCATTTCCCCAGCAACACAAAAGCAACTTTTTTTTTTTTTTTGCTTTTAAGCCTTGGCCTAAACCACTCTTCTTGGATAGTGAGCACACAGAGTTGGGCTTGTGTTGTCAGTAGATCACTGACAATGCTACATCCCAGGGGAAGGAAGGGCAGGGAGCATCACACACCTGAGTTCTGTCTTGTGAATCTCAGCAATTTTCTTTTCCAGCTTCTCTGAATGTTTCGGAAAAAACTGGAACTTGGAGCTGTAGCCTTCAGGGTGTTTCCCTGGGTCATAATCTCCAATCTCCGCTTTTAAAGGGAGGTAGAAGAATTGTGTGGAGACAGATAAATCATCACTTGCAAAGCAACAAGATATTAACACACACAGTAGCAGCCAAAGCACACACCAGATTTACAAAGGCCAATGGGTCTCAAGCACAGCTGGGCAGAGGGCAGGTGCCTTAGGAGCATGTCCACCTTTGTTTTCCTGGATGTGCTCACTGAGTTGACATTCAAGTCTAAGCAGAGAGAAAGTAGAGCTAACCCTGTGTTCTGAGGTCACCCACAAGTAAATTTGCAATAAAAGAGCATAGGGCTGCACTATGGTCTTCAACCATTCAGTCATAAAGTATGGGCCTGGGAGCAATGCTCTATAAAACAGCAGGAAATGGTGAGCTTGATCAGGAAGACAGAGTTCCTGCGCCTGAGATGGGTCAGAAATCTAAAGCTCATTTTGAGGATTTTGGCAGGGACAAAGCTAGTTGATGAGTGAGCCATGATCCACATTTAGAACTCAACCCTTATTCCAAATCAAATTTTTAAAACAGTAAAAATTCAATATTCACAGACGGTTGACCATGTGTCAGGCTATAAGAACCAGACAGTGTCATCAAGTTTAGAAGCACCAAATTCTAGGGCTGATTTCTCAATGTCCTGCTTTCTAAGGAAGTAATAAGTAATTTATTTTGACTTTATTTAGTTCTAAGGCTTTTTCTCAACGAGGGGCTTTCTCCTCTGGCCATGCATGGAGCAGTTCAAAGCTCTTGAGATCTCAGATCACAGAACTCTGGGAGGGCTATGGACCCACAGTGCTTTCCGCAGCGCTCCAAGTCAGAATCCAGCTTTTTCTATGTGAAGTGCTCTGCAGAGAGCATTCTGGGTGTGACAAAAGGAAGGAGGAGGTTCCAGCTGCTTTGTGGATGTCCTCTCCTTCCACAGAAAGTCATGACTGCTTCAGATAAGAGAGGAGTAAATATTAGGAGGAAAACATGTCCTCCCTCCTCTCACAGCCAATATTGTTCTTATGGCTTGGGCCTTTTCACTATAATTCTAACTCATGTAACCATGGTCCATTTTATGTTTTGATTATAGCCCTTGCTGCTCTGCCACTGCAACTTATTTTTAAAATGAACAAGTTTCTTTCTTTTCCTCTCTCCCTTCTTCTCCCTAATCTCTCCCCTTCTTAAGCTCAGGGGAAACAGGATTATCTTTTTTTCCCTATCCTCAGCAGGGTTATCTGTCCTTGGACACACACCTACCATAGGAAAGAAGTAATTCAGACTTTGGGGATGGCACCAGCAGATCTCAGATATGATCATCTCCCAAATTAACAAGTGAATTACAACTTCTGACAGAACAGAGGAATGTAGTCTTTGAATCACCTCTGTAAAAAACCCAGCTCCCCTTGATGGGCAGAATCACAGCCTCTGGGACAGAAGTTCCCTGTGCTTCTCCCTTGCTAGCAAAGCAATAAACCTTCTTTTTCCTTTTTCTCAAAGCCATGTCCTCATTATTGGATTGGCACTGGAGACAAGGACTGAACTTTCAGTAACACTCACAGTTCCTTTCAAATTACTTGCGAATTTCTATTACTTAGCAAGAGACTAAAGGTTTCCCCTGTAGTTTGTTAGTGACCTTGAACCTTGGAATAATTTATTTTGATTTTATGTAGAAAGTACCAAATGGAAAACATCAATGTTGGACATCAAGTACTTCTTTGAAGAAAAAAAAAAGTAGCAGAATTCAATATGATTCTCAGGGTAAAACTGAAGAAAAGACTAGAGCTTAAAATTACATTAGGTCAGGCCAGGGTTTCTCTTTAAAAAGAAAAGGGTACCCTTTGGGTTCCTCAAAATTAGCAAGCACTTGCTAGACTATTCCACTTAGCTGATTTTTAAAACAGGAGTCTGAGAAGTCAAAATGGCAATGGGCTGACTTTTATATTCTTAACACAGTTGTGATATTTTTCCTGCCAGAAGGACTTTAGTTTCTTATTGGCAAGCACTTTCCAGTTTCTCTTTATGAAGTTGCTTCTGAGAGTTCACGTATTTCCAATTAAGAGTTCAGATTCTTTGATGGAAACTTCATGATTTTAGTGTTGTGGTCCAAAATGATCCAGTTGTAATGACTTTCATTCTAAGGACTAAGAAGTGGCACTTGGGAATCCTCAACATTTCATGAAAGGATAAAGGGACATATGTGAAGAGTGCATGACTCTCCCACTGTTTTTGCCAAAAAACAACAAAAAAAGCCAGTCTGGGCATCTGGGCATCAGCTGTGATGTGAGGCTCAACTCTTAACTTATTAACACATCTTGGAAACATTTTCAATGTTGAGCAATCTGAACTGAAAGATCTCTATAAAATAGATACCAGAATTCATAGACACTTCACACCTTAAGAGATTTGCATGAGAGGATACAAAAAAAATTGATTTTGATTACTCTCCATAGTCTCAATAACGTTATCAACCAAGGGCAAATCTCCTAGAGTCAGAAGGACTTATGGGGCTGGCAGTGAGACCTTAGGAACGGTGTAGGATTGAGTGCTCTCTGTGTTTTCTGGCTCTAGGGAACCTGCACAAAATCCTCCAACTTGGACTCTGTTTCAAGTTAGGTACTGTCTAGATCCAAGAAGTAGTCATCTGTGGTAACTGAAATAATGTAATAAGGACTTAGCATGAAAAGCAAATTTATCCTGTCAAAAGTCATTACCTTGAAGGATATACGCTGCTAACAAGGCAGCATCAGATGTTTTACAGAGGAGGCGGCCATGGTAGAGATCCCTTTTGATCTGTAGGAAGACTAAATACCTGGAGAGAAAACAGAGAGTGAACTAGAAAAGATTTCTTTGATTGCTTTAAAGACATAAATATGTAATATAAACCTATCAAAATTTTTGTCAGGACACCTTTACTACATTTTTTAAAAATCTCAAAACATACCATAGAAAAAAAATGCATTTTTCATTTCCCTAGAGACTCTTTCAAACACTTTGCTTTGAATTGGTTTGAGGTTAAATTCAAAACAACCCGTCCACTTCCCTAGGCAGCTCAAAATATAAATGGCACTTACTGGTAAAAGCCCCGTTGCTCCATCCACCCCCAACCCCTGGCCCCAGTGCTGGGATTTGGAAGGAGCCAGCCTCATCATCCAGTACTGAAAATGAAAACCATGCCATTAGAGATGGACACACTGGGCCTCCTTGTGCCTTTGGAATCAAGTAGACCGGTGGGTGAAGGGACTAACTCAAGAGTTGGGCCTTGGTTTGTTGACAGAATCTGTCCAATGTGGAAACAGCCCGTGATTATTGGGACAGGTAAACCAGACCTCTCCAAATATGAATAAAGTATACGAAGAGGAACTGGTGAAGGAAGCATGAAAATCAAGCAGAAATCTGTGGCCAACATCTCTTCAAATATATAACCAGGCCTTGGTGGAGGCAGAATAACAAGAACAGGAGCTAATAATGGTAACTGACACATGCTGAGCACTCACTGTCTGCAGGTCCAGGTGTTAGGCACTTAATTAATTTTTTTGGTACCAGGGATTGAACCCCAGAGGTGCTTAACTACTGAGACACATCCCCAGTCCTTTTTTACTTAGAGACAGGGTCTCCCTGAGTTACTTGGGCCTCACTAAATTGCTGAGACTGGCCTTGAATTCATGATCCTCCATGGTGGCACAGGCATGTGCCACCATGCTCAGCACATACTTTATATTTAATATCTCATTTAATTCTTATAAAACACTTTGAGACAGGCACAATTGCTAACTCCATTCTTCCAGATAATCTGAGGCATCAGTGTTTCTCTCATGGACACACAACTAAGTAACAAAGACAGAATTCAAATTTGGAGTTGCTGGACTCCTGAACTGGCTCATGTTTTACTGCCCTCCTTGTACTCTAACTGCTTTGTAGTTTCACAAGTAATGGAATGCACACTGTCACAGTGGAATGGAATAGATAACTTCACATTTTGAAATGCCTTTACAAGGGATGTGATCTTGGATGATCATAATCTTCCTAAGAAGAGCAAACCCGCGAGATTAGCAGGTCCATCAAACCCTCAAGTGAGTTACCTCCCATGGTGGCCCCTGGCCAGGGAGCCTCTGTGGTATTTTAAAAATACATGCTCAAATGATTTGATATTCCTCATTTCGTAAGGTAGAGCTTAATTCTCTGCTTTTTGAGTGTGGATTGGACTTTGTGACTCCCTTCTAGCAAAAGAACAAAACAGAAGGGAAAGGTCTGGCTTTTGAGACCAGTTCATGGACTCGTTTAGCTTCCTCCTCACACTTTTTCTTGGATCACTCATTTTGTCTGCCTAAGCTGCTGTACGGAAAGGCCCATGTGGTGAGCAACTGAGGCCTTTTGCCAAAAGCCAGCAAGGAACCGAGGCTTTCTGCCAACAGCCATGTGAGTGCACCATCTTGGAAGAGGATTCTCTAGCCCCAGTCAAGCCTTCAGATGACTGTAGTCCCTGCCAGGCTCATGACTGACCCTGGGCCAGAACCACCCAGCTAAGCTGCTCCTAAATTTCTGACCCACAGAAACTCGGATAATAAATGTTTGTTATTTTAGGCTAGGCTTTGTGGTACTCTATTAGTTAGCCATAGATCACTGCAGCGTCCCTAGGGAAGTAATGGAAAAGTAATGAAATTCCCTTAAAATTCCACCAGTCGGAACCAAAAGAAATTAGGCCCCCCTTAGACTATTGGAGGTTTCCATTGTTTCTGTTTTCAGACTGAAGAAGAAAATAATTCCACATCCTTTATCTTGTAAAACTGCTCTTCAGGATATAGTTGCATATCAGCAATATCAGCATCACCTGGGAGCTTGTGGAGACTCAGACTATTAGGCCCGGCCTACACCAGCACTTTTTAACAAGATCCCCAGGTGATTGGTACGTAGATGAAAGCTTATGAAGCACTGTTCTGAGAAAATTCTAAAGCATCCTTCTTACCACATTGGGATGGACCATCTTCCTCAAAGGAAAGGGAAGGTGAGAATGGTAGCTTGGCCATTAACAAGAACCTTTTTCCCTCCTCCTACCATACCCACTCTGCTTGAGTTTGCCAAGAAAAACCGAAGGAAAAAAGACGTCATGTTGAGTGAATAATTAAGATGGATCTACCAAATCAAGCTTGTCTTCACTTTGCTTCCCACAGTGAAATGCCACACGGTGTGTGGGAGACAGCAAGCTAGCACTTCTCTGCCTCTCACTGTTCCAACTCCCACCTTCCCCAGGCTTTGGCAGGATGTGGATGCAAACCTTTTGCCCCTTACTCACTGATCACTCCCCAGGCCTGGATTCAACCACCAATCCTCCCATGCTGTTCTGCTCATTGGTGCCCAATACTCGGGGACAGAACATACTGGACTAAAGGAGATATTTAAAAACAAATCTGGGCAGACAAAGGAACATCCATCCTCCTGCGGGGAGCTCTTCAGGGTCTGTGTGCAGGGGTGCTGCTGTGGCTTGCAAAGACCCCACTAAAGCTTCCAATTGCAGCTCCCAGCCCCACTCCAGGGGGGAAATGCTCCATCACACTGAGAGCTGTGGTCTTGATGGGTGCTTGGCAGGATCTCAGGTCAACCAGAATGGAGACAAGTCTCTGTACCGTTGGGGCCAGGGGTGGTTCCTATTGATTTTTGGTGATAGGACAGCTGTAGGGAGTTCAAGGATAAAGCCTGGTGGCATTCTTCTTCTTCTTCTTTTTTTTTTTTTGGTACTAGGGATTGAATTCAGGGGCATTTGACCACTGAGCCACATCCCCAGCCCTTTTTTGTATTTTATTTAGAGACAGGGTCTCACTGAGTTGCTTAGTACCTTGCTTTTTTCTGAGGCTGGCTTTGAACTCATGATCCTCCTGCCTCAGCCTCCTGAGCCACTGGGATCACAGGCGTGCCCAACTTGGCTCATGGCATTCTTAAGCAAGGGAGGGGAGAGGGAAGGGAGGGAAGGGGAAGGAGGGGCAAGTCCACATCCTAAAGAAACAAACCACCTTCTTTAGAGACAAGAAGAAATGAGTTAATGGAAGAATCCACAGATGGCTTCAAGGGAGAGTGTGGCACAAGGCTGCCCCTTTCTTTTCTGCCACAGTGACAGGAAATAATGCCCAAGGGAAAAGAACTGAGACCTCACTCTTATGGAATGAACATTTCAGTGGGGGGAGACAGATAGCTATATGGTAATCAAGGTGATAATGATGAAGACCCACATTTACTGAGTGCATTCTGGGTGCCCCACACTGCACTGTTCTACATGCTCACCCCTATTTATTTATTTTTAATTTTTTTCTTCTTAGTTGTTGATAGATCTTTATTTTATTTATTTATATGTGGTGCTGAGAATCAAATCCAGTGCCTCCCACATGCCAGACAAGTGTGCTACTACTGAGCCCCAGCCCCAGCCCTGCACACCTCTATTTATATCCAAATATACTTATGGTAACTTTTGAAATAAACATACACTTTTAGAGTTCTGTTGTTTTGAGAAAATAGGTGACTGATTAGAATGTTGAAAAAAAATACATAAATATATATGAATGCATATGTAAAGGATACATAAGCTTTAGATTATAATTTTCAACTGATTTTAATGCACCTATATCAATTTCACTGAAATATTCACAGAATTGAAAACTTGGGACTTAATGAGTTAATCCTTAAAACACCTCTATGAGATAACTGCCATTCTTGTTCCCGTTTGGCGGGGGAAACTAAGTGCTCATGGATACTGTTGCTTTTCCTGTCTATAAATTAAGAATGATCCAGGATTTGAACCCAAGTCTTTATGATTTCTTCAACCAGGGGCTAGCAAATTATGGCTCACTGCCAGACTTTCTAATGAAATAACATTTTATTTGGATACAGACTTGCTCATTCATTTATATATTGTCTGAGGCTACTTTCACACTACAATGACAAAACTGAATAGCTGCGATGGAGAAGGTATGGCCCCCCAAAACCAAAATACTTAATATCTGGCCCTTTATAGAAAAAGTTTGCCAATCCATTTTAGCCTAAGCTAGGCTCAAATGATATTCACTGAAAGAATAATTGACCTAATGACTCCATTTGTTATGGTTTAGATATCAGGTGTCTATCCCCCAAAAGCTCATGTATGAGATAATGCAAGAAAGTTAAAATGTTTGGGTTTTGAAAGCCTTAACCTAATCAGTGCATCGATCTCCTGATAGACATTAAATGGAGGTGACTAAAGGTAGGTAGGGTTTGGCTGGGGGCAAGCCTTTGGGGTACATATATTTTGTACCAGTGAATGGAGTAGTGGCTCTCTCTCTCTGCTTCCTGGTGTGATGTCTTGAGCCATTTTCCTCATCATGACTTTCTGTCATGATGTTCTGCCTTCCTTAGGGCCCTGAGGAGTGAGCCAGCCATCTATGGACTAAGACCTCTGAAACTGTGAATGCTAAATACACCTTTTCTCCTCTAAAATTTTTCTTGTTAGTTCTTGTTGTCACAGTGGTGAAAAAAACTGACTAAAATGCCACTGGTGAATGTACACAGTCACTCACTGTATTAAGTCTTTTGAGCCCCTGGTGTGTGGCGGACACTTTGCTTCCCTGTAAGGTGGGGCTCCACTTGTACTCTGTTTCCTTTTATCACTTGATCTTTCCAAAGAGTTCATATACCTGCAGTCCCTGAAAAAGCTAAATCTGGTGCCTAATTTCCTATTTTATCAGTCTTCTCTCCAGCCTAGACAAGAAAATCTATTTATTACTTTTAAAAATGACAAAAGAAATTAATCAGGATTTGGAAACCAAATTTATCCTCTGGGAAGAATCCAAGACATGAATTGAAGCGCAGTTCTTCACTTCCTGCTTCATCCCCTTTTCTCAATCTGGCTTTATAGGAATGGCTGAGATGGCAGTGAAATTTAGGACCGACATTGCCAGGAAAAAAAAAAAAAAAAACAACACACTGACAGCTAAATTAGTTTGGCAGGAAGGTGGGATAAAGGGATCTAAGCCAGGAATGAATTATGGGTATTGAGTGAGGCTGGGGAAGGTATCTACTCTCTTAAGATCAGTAGGGACGTGAATGAGAAACACAGCTCATTCCATGGCCCTGCAGAATGCCCCAGGGAAGGGATGGCATGAACAGCACAAATCAGGGCGAGGCACCCTGAGGTTCATGCCACTGACAATGCTGGGAAAGAAGGCTGGTAAGGTGAAGAGAGGGGAAATTGTCCAAGGTGGTTAGCATGCATGCATGCAGATGGGAGAGAAGCTCATAAACCTGCCAGTGTCCAGGTTTGCTGACTTGGTGAGAGGCCTGGCCATGGTCCCAATGCTGCACTTACATGGAGCATGTAATCAATCTAGCAGCAAACACATTGAGCTGTTGCTCGGAGAAAGGCTCACTGGGGGTATATCAAGAAGCAAAATACACTAGTATAGTAGTTACTCCTGCCAACAATCCTAAGAAGAATAGATATTACTAGCCCCATTTTATAAATGAGTTATCCAAAGGTCAGAGAAGTTAAATATCATGTCCGAGCCCAGCAGCCAAAAAAAATAACTTGTTGGACCTGAGCTCCCAGGTTTATTCTGCTTCTTGGGTAGGAGGGTCTGAACATTAATATGAGATAGTGACATTTGATTTGGAAAGCTGTATTAAGAACTCCTCCTAAAGACCAGTAGAACCACATATTTTTGTCTTTCAATCAAGGAAAGTGATGTTACTGATAGCTCACAGATTTGCATTAAATCAATCCTTTTAGCCCCACTGTTGGTTCAGTGAAGTGGAGACCAGGTAATCCTGATTTTGGTGTTAGGATGTGAGGAACTGGGCTTTCAATAAGAATGTGTTAAGTTTGTTTGGGAAATGTGAACAGGCACATAGGGGTCTCCCCTGGCACCGTCAGTGAGGGCTGGGGCTCAGAGCTGAAGTGGACTAGCACTTTAACAAAACTCCTCTCTGGTTAAGTTGCAAGAAAGTTTAGAGGTAAAATGTTTGGGTTATGAAAGCCTTAACCTAATCAGTGCATTGATCCCCTGATTGTGAAACATTGGTTCTGCCCTCATTTACTGTCTGAAGCTACAGGGTTGCTTATTAATATGGATGGGGTTAGTTTTTTTTTGTAGTTGTAGATGGACAGAATGACTTTACTTTATTATTATTATTTTTTAAATTTTTATGTGGTACCAAGGATCGAACCCAGTGCCTCTTGCATGCTAGGCAAGTGCTCTACCACTGAGCTACAGCCTCAGCCCCTGGGGTTAGTTTTTAGACACAAGTGGGAGTCACCCCACTTTTATGAGGATAGGCAGAGCCTGCAGTTTCTATGCCCCATAAGGAACATGGGGTTTGGTTCTAGCTATTACACACCTCACTATCCTCAGTGCTTTAAAGTAAGTGGGTGCACAGAAAGATCCACACAGGATCTTTCTGACTCCATCAGAGGAAGATTCCCACAACCCATGCTGGGTCCATGTAAGAAACCCCTTCCTTCCTTGTGCTACTTATTTTCCTTACACTGCTTCCTGTTCATTGTCCTTTTCTTTTCCATTTCCTGATTTCCTTTCTTAGGGAAATTTTTGCTCTTTTCTCTTTCCGTGGTCTTCTGTTTTGTTTGTTTTGGTTTTGGTTTTTGCACTGGGATTTGAACCGGGGCCTTACACATGCTAGGCAAGTGTTGAACCACTGAGTTGCATCCTCAGCCCTTTTTATTTTGTTATTTTATTCTGAGACAGATTTCTTGCAAATTGCCCAGGCTGGCCTTGAACTTGCAATGCTCCTGCTTCAGCTTCCAGAGCAGCTGGGATACGAGGTGTATGCCACCACACCTTTTGCTCTTTTCACCTGATGGAAAGCATGCTCTTCAGAATGGCAATGAAAATAATTCTATATTATTCCTTTCTTTTTCCTTCTTTCTTTTCTTTGGGATTTTCCTAAGTAGATTAGGATCCAGAAATAGATCTCCAAGTCTATGCAGGACAAGCCATCGATATGACAGCAATAGCCTCATTCCTATCTTTGCCATCTCCAAGATTGCAGGGAAGGGATTTGAGCTGTTGGTGCCATCTCTTCCTCAGTTCTACAACTCCCTGGCATTACTCTTCGCCTATGTCCCCCACCAGCTATAGGTAACATCAAGATTTTGCTTATGTTGAAATAAGGACTCCCTGTTATAGAGAGCTCCTGAATCTTTGAGGTGAGACTTTTAGTGTGAATTTGGCTCCGATGTACAAAGTCCTGGGGAAGCTCTGAAGCTCCTATTCACTGACCCTCTTGCAGGATGGTTGTGGGCACACAGGCTCTTTCTCATCCTTGAGTGGTGCTGGACGAGATAGAATTCATGTTATGTAGCTGTCTGCCTGCCTCAGAACATGATCCTCACAATAAAGAGTTTATCACGGACCTGTTCTAATGGCACACCAGAGTTTACACAGTTGGATTTAGAATCTTCCATATTTCCCAGCCTGTCTTTCAATATCAGGCCTTGGCATTTCCTCCACTAGATTTTTGGAGTCTATCTTCCAAAATAAGAAGCAACCCAGCTTTCTCTAAAAACGTCTAAAGCAGCCATATCATAGGTACCAGAAAGATGCTTTTGATTATTTAGTTCCTCCAGACCCCCTCAGAGTGAGCAGGCAGAGATGAAGTATTCACATTTGAAGGAAGTTCATGCTGCTCTGGTTCCACTGAGGGGTGAGCTAAGAAAGAATGTGGCAATGAAATACAGAAGTGGGTTCTAGTAGAAAGGGTTCCTTCCTAAATAGTTCCTTCATAAAGACTTAGGAGTGTCCACATCAGAGGATCTGAGGTCACAGCCCTTTCTGACAGGTCTCAGTAGCTGGGGGCAGTGTGTGCAGCCTCACCTTGTTATTTCTTCTTTCAGAGCAGCAGGGTCTGCGGGGTAAAATTTCACACGGAAGCACATGGTGAATGGAGGCTGGGCTGCAGAGAAAAAGGAGTCCATTAGGGAGACCCTCTCCCAGAACATGTCCCCCCAATGTGCTGAGGCCGCTGAACCTCCAGCAGAAAATCCTCAATTAGGGCCAGCTTTTACTCAGAGGAGGGGAAAATCATATATGTAGACTTCTGACATTTGGGAGGCGCATCCACCCGCCCCAAGGGTGAGGCTTTAGTTTTTTTCATACAGAATACTTACATCTCAGCTGCTTCACAACCGACTTTGTAAACTCCAACCAATGCTGAAACAGAGAACGCAGGACATGAAAACCCTAATGAGAAGCAGTGTCAAGTGTAACTTGTTTTATCCAATTGAAATAACTAGACAGATTATAGCCTAGGGTAAAAGCTGTCCAAAAGCTTGTGAAATATAGGCTTGGAGAGTAAAGAGTGATATGATTTTCTGAAATAAGCACCCCATGGAGCCAGCTGTGAGGCGGGGAATAGCTCCAGCTTCACATGCCATCTCTGGGCTTCCCTGCAAAGTCTGCCTTCTTTATAAAGCAGGGTGCCAATGTTCTGAGCCATGTTCCTGGCATGCCAGCAGGCATCAATGATTGTACATCTGTGTGGTGGGGACAAAGGCCCACCCGGCCCAAGCAGAGAAATGCTGTACTCACTGGGTGTTGTGTGTTGGGTACTGAATTTGTTTTTGTGAGGAGTGGGGGGCAAAAGAGTGGGATAGAGGCTATTGGCAGCAACTCTAGAAAGTATTGACAAGAGGAAATTTCATAAATGGAGAGAAGTCAGAGATGGCTGGCATATACTTCCATTTTTGTTTGAATAACATAGATTGCCAAACCTTGTGTTAGAGAACACATACTCATGATTCCTTGGCATATGGGGATGTTTAAAGTCTAAGTTTCATAAGATAATTAACCACAACCAATGTGTAGAATTCTATCCTGTTCCCCGGGATGTTCATAGGATACAGTGGTGATACATTTTTCCCCATGGTACTTATGTTTTGGGGAAGGAAGGAACAAGATCATTCTATATCTGTTTCTTAATTCTACATGGGGCCTTCATACAATTTATTATTGGTATTTTTTTGTTTTTATGCTAAGCAGGTAACTTGTCACTTTGCAGAGGACTACACCTGCTATTATTTGGGTTTTGATTGCCCATAAGTAGCTTAAGGCCATAGATGTAAGCTCCAGGAGGGCAGGAAACTATCTTAATTACCACCTGTGCCTAGCACAGTGCTCAACACATAGCTGCTAAATGGACAAGGGGACTGGGTCCACGCTTTCCTTTTTTCTGGCTATTTCCCTCTAGTGTAATGTCTTGGCAGAGTCCTCCCTCTGGCAGGAAAGCGGCCAAGGCCATGCAGACGGTATCCTGGCCTCCCTCGATTCCCCACTCTTACCTTCTGGGCTGGGCTGTGGGTCATGTAGTTAATGGACCCACTAAGAGCCAGTTCGTCCGTCAGCTCCACATGGATAATCTGGGCTGACATTCTGCTCTCTTGCTTCCTCTGATCTGAGTTCCCACGAGGCTGGCAACTCATTATAGCCACTCAATGTGGTTAAGAGGTCCTTCTCACATTACATGGCCCACCGTGGCTCCGCTTCGCAGGGAAGCAAAGGCAAGAGATGAAATTGTACAGAAACAACTGGGGTTCCAGGCTGTGCCTGTGAAGGCGGAGGAGGCCTATCTGTTCAAAGCACACCGGAATTGTGTACAGTGAAGGAAAGTAGCAAATGTCAGGGGCTCAGTAAACAGAACGCCCTAGCCATTAGACTGAGAGATTAAAAGAAATAAACAAAGGAAGATAGAAATTAAAAGGAAGGACTCTGAAAAGGCATTATCAGCAGAGGGCAGATGGAGCTGAATGACAAAAAGGCAACTCCCCTTGGCAATAGCTGGAGAGAAGACTTTAGCTTGTGTGTAGTGAGAACTCAAGAAAGGACTGAGGCTGGAGGAAGTTAGGCAGGGCTGGGAAGGGAGTGGAAAGCTGTCACAGCCTGTCCAAGGGGTGTTAAGGGTCCAGTGGAGAACTCTTGAGAGGATCCCAAGAATATGATAATGCCCAGAGTTGCTTTTTCAGCTGCCTGGTTAAATCTGGGTCCCAGAATCCCTAGCAAACTAATAATGTTAGGCTCTGGGAGAAAGGATCAGGAGAGGAGGTAAAGAAGATTCACAGAGGGGGGTTTCCTGCTGCATTTGAGTAAATGGGTCACAGTGATACAATCTTCAGACACTGGGACTTTGAAAGGGTGCACTGGAAAGTCAAAGGAAGGCAGAGGCTCTAGGTCTGAGTCAGAAACAATGGGGAAGGGGCATGAGGGCAGCTCCTTCAGGAGAGACAAGGAGAGTTCCAGACATATGGAGATTCCTACTGAGCAAGCAGTGATGTGGGGATGGACCCTAGCGCCAGGTTGTGACTACCTTTATACCCGGGGGAGCTGGGAGCTCACTTCCTTCACCTCCACTATGAATCAACGGAGTAGGGTAACTTCTCTTTACCAGTCTGTTTGCCTAAGACCCTCGATGCCCTCTCAAGCCTCTGCCAGCACAGCACTCCCCACCTCCCAGGTGCAGAGTGCACTGCTTGCCACGGCTGCCAGGTGTGGTTCCAGTGGGGCATCTGAGAAACCACACAGGCTCTGCATTCAGACAGGTCTGAGCTTGAGACGGCTTTGCGATTTATCTTGGTTGGGGGTTACTTAACCTGTCAGAGTCTTCACTGACTCACCTGAAGAATGGGTATCATAATTATAAACACTGGTTCCCACTAATCTTAAGGATTACATGAAATAACATATGTGCAGCTCTTAGCTTAGTGCCTGAGACAACTCAGTGCTCAGTGTTCATCAGCCGAAAAGGCCTGGTGTGTGTTCACAGCAGAGCCTGGCACACAGTGGGCATGTCATAAATGTTTAGTCCTCCTCTTTCCCATTTCCTTCTCTCTCTAGCTCTTCTACCTTTTAATCTTTACCACCTCCATGTATATTCTGATTCTCCTCAAGTACGTTCTAGTCTAACTAAAAAACAAACAAACAAACAAATAAATAAATCTACAGGACACATTTTGCCCTTTCTTTTAAAAAAATATTTATTTATTTTTTTTAGTTGTAGGTTGACACAATACCTTTATTTTATTTTATTTTTTAATGTGGTGCTGAGGATCAAACCCAATGCCTCATGCATGCTAGGTAACTGCTCTACCTCTGAGCCACAACGCCAGCCCACATTTTGCCCTTTTTGTTTCACACACTAGAACCTCTAGGAAATGAATAGATTTTAGGGTAATGGACCTTCCTTTTTAGGGACAGAAAGCTCAGACCAAACAAACACACACTAGATATAACAAAGCAGTCTACCATTTTATTGTGAATGGCTCCTACAGTAGGATGAGGGACATGTAGCTTCCTGGCATCAACGTATTTTTTCTGGCCTTCTGCTTAGTCTAGAGCTAAGAAGCGTATTTATGTCATTGAGTGGAGCTTTTATAGAGTGAAGGGCTGACCCCACCACTACTTCCCAAACACTGACGCTGCTCAGAACTTTTTGGGGGCTGGGAGGAATGAAACACATCAGAGAGAAGCTGGAGCAGGGCTAGTCAAAGGAAAGGGACATGGTCCTTTAGATTCTTTCCTGAAGCTCATGTGTTTAGTACATAACCCTAGATGTAATCTGCAAGACAAAATGGTTCAGGGCATCAAAGAAAAAAAGCACAACTCTAACATGGTGAGGGGCATATCCACTCAGTGTGGTGACCCCCCACAGTGCAGGGATCTGCCCCCTGAAGATGGTGGAGACAAACCCCATGTTTGAATTTGAAGGAACTCCTGGACCCATAAAAGGAAGGCCTTCTGGTATTTGTGATACTGTTTTTTTTGAAAATGGCAGATAAACATGGGTGGTGAGAGACTGGATGCTTCTGCACATTTTCCCACTTTAATGTGGATGTGAAGAGCACATCCCCACAGACAGCAAAGGGAGGATGAACGGAAACTATAGCAACTGCAGATATGGACAAGATGGGCAGATGGAAGTGAGAGATAGGGTACTCTAAATCATTAACTCATTCATCCCTTCCTTCTTCAGCAAATGCTCCTTGAGCATCAACAACATTCCCGGCTCTGTGCTGGTTACATGGAAGACATGATGAGTAAGAAAATCTAAGTCCATGTCCTTGGGGGAACTCACACATTTGCAGGGAACACAGGTAACTGCAGCAAGGTATAATAAGTACTATGACAGGATACAGATCCAGAGAAGGCCCTTAATACAGAGCAGGGTTAGAGAAGACTTCCTGAGAAAGTGAGAGTCCACAGTAAGATCTTAAGTGTGAAATGGAGGTAGCAAGAAGGAAAGTGTGGAGTGCAGACAAATAAGGAAAAGGAGAAGCATTTTCCAGCAGCAGAGCTGCAAAGATGAAGGCTCTGGAAAGAAGGCATGTTATGTCTGGAGAGCCACAGTATTGTCTGGCTTCACTACAGCAGGGAGGAGAAGGTCAAGGGAGGTGAAGCTGGAGATGAAGTAGAGGCTAAGGATAATGGGCTTGTTCCTGTATCTGTCTGGAGCATCACAGTCTTGTCAACACCTCTTATCTGCAGAACTGCCTTTGTTACACAGAGCAGAGCTGGAACTGCAGAATGTGCAAGGTTCTGAAGGGTCCATGTCAGTCTCTCTGTCTTCCCAAATGGGGTTGGCATGGTGCCTCAGTGAGGCCCTGCCTAACCAGAATATTGAATTACAGTCCATTTACTAGAAAGGGGGCAGGAAAAGCCCACCCAGTGCACTTGGCCCTAAGACCATGACACTATCCCATCTGCTATGCCTCAAACCAGGCTACTTTGGGCAAATCACTTAAGCTCTTTAGGCTTCCATTTCTGCACGTGTAAAATGCCAGACTTCTCTAGATGAGCCCTAGCTAAGGTGCTTCCAGGTCTAATGCTATGATTTAAAGCAAAGGCATTCAAGTGCAGGGTCTGGCTGGTCCTTGACTCCCAAGGCTAAACTCTGAATATGAATAATAATTTAAGAATTCAGGCTTATTAACTGACCTTCTGCTCCCTTTGTGCTTTGAATTTTGACTTACCCGCTGCTTATCTGGGTCCACAAAGCGGATCCCAAAATAGTCTTTCTCAAGTAGGTTCAGGTGGTGGCAAAGAAGGTCAAACAGGTACTGGCCTTTGGCATCTCTCTGAAAAAAAAAAAAAAGCAAGCTCCATTGAGAAATGAGTGGTCTTCTTCAGCATGACTTTGTTTTTATGGTCATTAAAAACTGTTTATAGCTTTTGCAAATGGAAATAAAGAGGGCACATGTTCACAATTGGGTCCTGCATTAGACAGTCTCTGGAATTCTGAGGCTTTCAGCACTTGGAAGAAGCCTAACAACCCCTCCCGCCCCCCCCCCCACCCTGTGTGCTCCCCCCGCCCCTCCCCCACTAAAATGTCAAAGAATTCAGCATAGAGTCAGTAAGCCAAGTTCCAATGTCTAATGCACAAATATCTCTTAAACAGGGAGGAACAGGCAACTTCAGCTTGGAATACAGCAGGAATAATATCAAATCCAGCAGGCTCTGCCTCTAAAGGCTATCTTGAATTCGTCCACTTTTCTTCATCTCCATTCCCAACTCCATATGCAGAATCACCACCATTTCCCAACTGGACCACTGCCAGAGTCTCTAAGGAATTCTCTGCTTCCACTCTTTCCTTGCTTAGTCCATTTTCCACACAGCAACCAGAGTGATCACAATTTTGCAATGTCTTTTTGCTGAATAAGTAACACAGGCACATTGTACTCTATTGAAATGTACAAAAGAACATAGTATATATACTATGAAGAGTTAGTTTTGCTTCCACTTTAGTCTCCCTGTGTACCAGTTTCTAACCCCAGAAGCAACCCATTACCAACTTCTTGTGTATCTTTTATGTGATATTTTCTATATAGGTAAACCTATATATGTGGACATCTTCTCTTTAAAATACATATTCAAACTTTTTTTTTTTTTTTGGTACTGAGGATTGAACCCGGGGTGCTCAACCACTGATCTATATCCCAGCCATTTTTAATATTTTATTTAGAGACAGGGTCTTGCTGAGTTGCTAAGTGACTCACTAAGTTGCTGAGTCTGGCTTTGAACTTGAAATCCTCCTGCCTTAGCCTCTCAAGTCACTGGAATTATAGGCATGTGCCACCACATCTGGCATCTTCACACTATTTTTTTTGCAGTGCTGGGGATAGAACCCAGGTCCTCACATGTGGTAAGCAAGAGCTCTACCACTCAGCTACATTCCTAGCCCGTCTTTGCAGTAAGTTGTTATTATTATTATTATTTATTATGTTGGCACTGGGGATTGTACCCACTGAACTACATCCCCAGTCCTTTTAAAAATTTTGTTTTAAGTTTCTCAGGATCTTGCTAAGTTGCTGAGGCTGGCCTGGGACTTGAGATCCTCCTGTCTCAGCCTCCTCAGTCACTGGGATTATAGGCATGTGCCACCGTGCCTGGCTGCAGCACAATTTTATATTTTACTCTGTTTCTTGTTCTGTTTTTTTTTTTTCCATTTAGGATATCTTGAAAATCCTTCTATAGCAGTGCATACTAATATACCTCAGACATTATCCAGTTCCACATTGATGGAATTTGTTTTAACCTATTACAAACAATGTGATAGTGAACATTCAGTGATCTTTAATTACACTCCTCACTTCTGTTTCACATTGCCAGGGTCTTTCCATTGCTCTCAGAAAAGAGTCCTACCTTTGGTCATGGCCTGTGATGCCCTATGTAGCCTGGCGCCTGCCTTCTCTTTGAGCTCATCCCAAATCATTCTCCTTACTGCATTCTTGCTGTGGCTTATTCCTGAACACACCAAGGCTTTTCTGCCTGTGTCTTTGTCTTCCCACTGCCTGGCATGCTCTTCCTATAGCTCTTCTTAGCCACTCTTATCCTTGAAGTCTCACTTCAAAAGCCCCTTCTGCAGAGAGGTCTTCCCCTAAAGGATGGCCTTTCTCTAGCTTTCCATCTCATTATTCTGTTTATGGTCTTCATAGCACTTATAATAGTCTGTAATTACCTTTTTGACTTATTTACTTATTTGTTGTCTGCTCCTTTTTGAGACTGTAATTTTCCTGAAAATGGGGCCTTTCCCCAGGTCAGCACAGGGCCTGATAGAAGGCAGGAGGTCCTCAATGGTTATTTGTTGAATAAATTATTGAATGAATAGCAGGTAGAAGGTTGGCTACAAGGTTTTACAAAATGTTAAGATGTTAGGTTGTTTATAACCCATAACTTCTACTTCAGAGACCTGCCTGGGTATCTAGGATGACTGGAAGAATGACATGCAGGGAACTGTCAGAACATCTGAAGGCCTGCAAAGCATGCATCTCTAGGTCTGTCCCCCATGACCTCTGTAGTTCCGCTGACTCACTCTGGCCTGTCCATGTCTAACTTTGTATCCAAATTGAGGCTGTCTTATAAGATCCAAAGATCTCACCTGTACCAAGGTGAGATTTATATGTGTACCAGGGCCGTGGTACAGAAGGATCTGGCCTGGTTCCAAGAAACAGGTCTTAAAGACATGCCTGTTCATGAAAGGTTTACATCTCCCCTCAGCCTCTTCTGCTGGCTCACCCTACATTATTGAAGGAGAACTAGGGCAGGATACCAAACCTCTCACAAATATCTTAAGAAGCTTATCTTTGCAGGGATGGAAGGATGAGTGGTAGACAGCTCAGCTAAAGGAGGAGGGACCATGTGGGTGCCTCCCTCTCCTGTTGGCTTCACACTTCCTATGTGTGTGTGTGGGGGGGCAGGGGCGGGCGGTGGTACCAGGGATTGAACCCAGAGGCACTTAATCACTGAGTTACACCCCCAGCCCTTTTTTGTTTTATTTAGAGACAGAGTCTTGCTGAGTCGCTTAGGGCCTCACTAAATTGCTGAGGCTGGCTTTGAGCTAGTGATCCTCCTGCCTTAGCTTCCAGAGCCGCTGGGATTAGAGGTGTGCGTCACCACCCCTGGCTCCCCTCTCTACTTCTGAAGTAGTGGTCCCATTCCCATACCCTTTGGTTTCCCACAAGAAAGAGCTACTCTCAGGGCAGAGATTAGGAATCACATGAGGACTCCCGGGTGTGGGCCACAAACTGGGTCTCACCACTTGCTCACTGATGCCTCAGAGCTTAAACTTGTGTTTAAGGCTCTCTGAGAGTGGAGGAAATATGTTCAACTCTGTCCCACGCAACACATCCTACACTATTATCTCTTTCAGAAAAACGGAAATGGAATTGTACAAAATGCATATTGTGATTATTTTCCTCTACAAATTTTACTTTGCACCAAGCTGGCTACTACATTTGGGATCAGCTAGCATGAATTTTAATGGCTGAAGGAGTTTGCTTCCATCCATACAGCAACCACATTATAGGAGCCTGGGAAATAGCCATGGGGAAACTGCTTCTGTCATGGAAATCACAAGGACTTTTAATAAGAATCCTGCCTTCCACAACTCATTCTCAGGGGCTGGCAGCTCAGATGTACTTGTAAGGCTCTCGGCTGCTTAAGAACCTTAGATTTAATAGATCCAACTATAGAGTTTTCTCACTTCACAGGAAGAAAATGGAAGCATGGCTTTTCTCTTGTAGGAATTAGGAAACAAGAACCTATCCCATTACATATTCCCTGTAGCTATAAAAAGGATCTTTCTCTGGTTATTTCTCAGCATCTGGTGGGTTCCCCTGGTGTGCTCCCCACCAGGAGGTCATTGGTCCCTCAGGTTCCCATCTGCCTGTGGTAGATGCATGGCTATGAGGCTGTTTTCGTAGACCCATAGAAAGAAGCATCTTCCTTTGCTGTTTCTCCAGGGATAGGGCTGGGTGAAGGGAGTGGGGATAGGAGGTAGAATAGAGCTGCTTCTGGCCTCCCATCTCCATGAAGTTCAAATTTCCAGCCTATACAAAGGCAGGATGACTCAGCACTGTGGAGGTACTTTCTACAACATGCCCCTCCCTTGGGGTACTTAACGCCTGTGACTGGAAGGGTGGCCTGAAGTGGACTCTGGGTGGAGTCACTTGCAGCTGTAACATCAACAATAAGCCATTGGCATGAAAAATTTTCGGAATTATACAACTTCCTGGTCTCAGGAGTCCCCTTGCACTTACAGATGCCAGCTGTGTTCTAAGAGACCCTCCCCATGGCCTCCTATCCCTAAGTCCAGGGGTTTCTGGAATATTCTGTGCAGCCAGTCTTCTCTTTTGGTGGGATGGCAAAGCCCAGGGACTCTATCTTCTCTTCCCTTTGCCTGTAGTTACCTTGGCACTATGGCTACACTGCACTTTGTGTGCTGAATGTTGAGCCATTGATTATACTGCAGAAACAGGCACTGGTACTGACAGGTGATTACTGTTTAGTCACAAAGTCAGAGCTCCATGCCTGAGAACGTTTATCTTTAGGACAAGTGAGCTGAGGCAGAGCACCCAAATCCTTATCCTCCAGTTAAACCTCAGAGCTTATTCTCCTCCCAAGACATTATTGGGTCAAAGTAACTTATATTAAGTACTCAGTTAAAAATAAATTTGAATTTTATGAACCACAATAATACCTACACATATTTGAAAATAACAGTTCAGGTAAGAAAATCCATTTATTCTCTCCATATGGTGCACAGAACAATCCCTGAAGCTCTTAGAATCACATTGCAACGGAGGCTGGGAGAATTCTTCTTGCTCCTCCCTGGAATGTGTGATTCTGGTTTTCTATGTTTTGCCTATTCTTGAGCGAAGGGACTGAAGCAGCAAGCAGCAAGCAAGCTGAGTCAGTGACCTAAACTTTTCAAGGTTAATTACATTTTCTGCCTCATAATGCCTTTAAGCCAGAGAAGCTTTATTTTAACCCATCATGGATGGAGTCAGGCCCTGGCATGGTGAATCCTGATGAGGGGAGCCAACATGAAGAGAGCCCCCACTCATTAAGCTTCACCTTATCCAATCCCATCTACCTGTGAGGCACACATATTTTAAGTACCAACTAAGTGAGGCTTCGAGGGGACAAGAAGGATTACAGCTTCCTTCACCTTCAGCCACATGCTGTTAAATGGGAGCTGACTGAGGTTTCATGGGCCCCTGGAGAAGGCAGAGATAAAAGGGAGGGATTACAGAAAGTGGGCCCCTGCTGGCCAAAAGTACAAGAGGCCAGGGGTTAA